CTCCAATCCATTAGCCTTCTACTCTTGAAGGGAAAAGGACTGTGTATGCACAGTCAAACTCAGGATTACAGATCAAATCTACTGCTGTGCATGTACATTTATGTGACCCTTGTGACTCTTCCTGATGTTTCCTACATGCTTGTTTTCCCGGTTAAAGAAAGAGGCATCACCCACTTATGTACAGTAAAATAACACTGAAAGATACTATGTCTGTAGCAGCAATCTTGAGAAATACAACTACTGGGCTGTCTGCATACAAGGTAAATTGTGTAGTAGCTTATAGTGAGGGAGATGTGTCTTGGATCTCTTGTACAATTCTTGCTTTACTCACACATTACTGCTGGAACATGCTACTTCATCTAATGGAAAAGGAGAAAAAAAAAATCAATACCAATAGGAGACCATGTTTCAAGCACAAGGAACTGAAATAGCTTCAGTTTTTAGTGGCCACCATCAAAATCTTGTCAGTATTGTTCTTTTCTAGCTCCACATCATGTCATTCAGGTATCAGTGATACAGACTTACTGATAACTGTCATTTTATGCCAAACTGATGGTAGAGCAACTGTTGGCTTGCAGACAGAAGGAGAGGTATTCATTTCCGTTTGCTTCTGCAGTAGATTCATTGAAATGTGTTAGCTCAGCTGTGTGCATATATGCTGATGTAATCAAGCCAGGTGCATGCACAGGATTTTCTAACAGGAGGTGGAGATGAGTCTGGATCACGTAAAGAGGAGATGGAGAGCTGTGCAGGATGTTTAAAGGTCACAAGGATGCTTAACATTTTGTACAGACATGTGAGGAAGAAAAATAGCACGGGGGCAGAGTTGCTAATGCACTAAATGGTAAGAAGGGTACAAGTTAGGTATTTCAAGGTGCAGAGTTCCAGATAATGTATGGTGCAAGGGAGAAAGAAGGGGATTCTGCCTCTTTCTGAGCTTTGATAGAAAAGATTAGAGAAACTGGGCTACTTATAGGAAAGTCAGGGAACAGAGTAAGGATTATTTAGGAAACAATTTAGTATGCCCCTTGAACCTGACCAGAATTTTAGTAGGCAAATATTTGTTTCAAGTGAAACAGATCCAGAAGCAGCTTTTGTAAAATGTATAAGTTTCTTTTTTTCAGTCATCCAAATATTGCATGCTAGTTCAGTCTGTTGTTTTTTAAGAGAATATATTTTTTCTTTGCCTTCTCAGGAACAGAGAGAGAGAGATGGGACAAGGGTGTACAAGAGGACAAGCAGATAAACAAGGCTAAGCTTGTAGAGAAGGCTGTCCAGCTTGATTACTGTCACCAGAGACTTGTATACCATTAAAATTCTTAGATATCTTCTCAGATTGTATAAGTGAAAAAGACATTACATAAACTGCCAGCATTTTTCTCCTTTTCACTTTGAGAACCACCCTTGTGGGACAGTTGTAAGGAATTTAGTAGGGTTGGCTCTAATAAGTTTCTGTGGATAGTACTCTAAAAATACAGACATAAGAGGAAGCAGTGTTGTTTTTTTCTGGTTTTGTTTTTAAGGAGTTATAGAATTCTACAAAAGGGATACAATTCTTTTAAACTGTTTTATAGGATACTGTGAGAAACCTTTAATTTTCATTGCATTCTATTACACTTTCAGGAGGTGCTGTCAGGTATTTTCAGTGGAAGTGAGTATGTGTGTTCAGTTTTCACCTGACCCCAGCTGGATTACGTGCTTAATCCCCAAAATTTCCTGTGACCTTATACTGCAGACTGCTTCAGTTTAGCATTCTTAACAACAGTCCACCACTTTGACAGGGATTGTTATTCTATCCATACAAGAAGTGACATATTGCTGCAGCCTCAGGAAGCCTGTGTGTCCAACTACAAGTTTGCTGATAGAGTAGTTGAACAAAGGAGCAAGTCCCAAACCTCCATGCTGGTCAGCAAGAGTGGCCATCATAAATGAATATCACCTCTGACCACTCCAAGAAATAACTCTCTCTGTTCACTCTTCCTTCTAGATTGCAAGTGCAGTCTCTTAATACTGACATCTCATTAATTATTCCATCTTGGATCCCAGTAGCCATAGTCTGGGATAGAAAAAAATCCTATTTTTTTCTAGTTTCAGTGAAATTTTTGTGACCCATGAAAACTTGCATGAAATCCAAATCCAGCTAGTTTAGTTGCCAGGTTATACAGAAGTCTGAGATAAGTTTCTCCCAAAGAAGAAAAGTTTGACATGTTGTGAAATGGCATGTTTTTCAACCTAGAAGCTGCCACATTAGTGTTTGCCACTGCCTCCACAGAGAATACTGGGCAATGCATGGTCTCACACAGAGCTCTGGCACCAGGTCACTTAGGAAAACCCTGGCTCATACCTGTCCCACCTTAGGTGTCTCTCTTGTTCCCCCATGGGATTGCTTAGAATCAGCTGACTTATGCAATGAAAGCTGACTGAGGTCTTTATTGGTAAATCCAGTATTACAGGCCTTTGCATAATATTTCCAGGACAAGACTTGCTCTCCATCTTCCAAGAAATTTGACAGTTAAAGATTATGACACCTTTGCAGAGTGACTTTTCCAGATCAGTGACCATTTCCTCTGAAGGTTTCATCTGTCCTTGCATGTCTACAGTAACTTTGGAAACAATTTCTTCTATCCCCTTTTACCTACATCAGTTTGATATTACCAGTGTTGCTTCCAAGGTCAGATCTATGGCAGTATTCATTTTCATGAGGATCCCTAGTAACCTCTTTCAACAAATGACCTCATAAATGGCAGTTTTTGTCAAAGGCATTTGGGGAAAAGCAGTACCATAGACACAGACACATACACTGGGAAAAAAAGGCTCTTCTCAGCACTCTTCTCCATGTATATTTTTTGTAGCCAAAAACCAGAGTGGGAAAGAAAAAGATAACATCTGAGTTGGGATGACCAAAGAACACAGAGAGAACAATTTAGTCTCTTAAAACAATGCAAGAAGTTAGATTCCAGTAGTAATTCAAGTGAAGGCAGGAGGTTGGGCCAGATCCAAACATCTATGCAGTCCCAGTGACCCAAGCTATCACATGTGATATACCTCACTTCTTTATTTGCTTGTTTATTCTGAAGGGCATTTGATGTGATAAAATGTGGACAATGTCCTGCGTTCAGCTGGAGAGAGTTAGGATATTATCTTTCTGGAGCTTCTCCCTGCAGTAATGATGATGCACGTTTTGGGGTTAATTTTCTGTTGAATAAGCACGTCAGGTTTTAAGGCACTGGTCCAGACTGTAAACAAGTCAGTCTCTTTGGAGCCTGCTTTGGCAGCTCTGCTGAGGTTGCTATTTGTATTAAAATATTTGCTAACCTATTCTTCATAAAGCCAGGTATGTTTCCGTGAAAAGGAGAGGCAATGTTGACATCTGTCCTCTTGCCAGCAGCAGCAAGCATATTACGTTGTTATCTCAGCTAACCCTCCCCCATGCTGATGCCCTAAATAAGGGACTGCTGAAATTCTAACCCAGGGCTCATTACATTTGTGCTCCAAACACAACTCTGTGCAAAAGACAGGAATAGCTCAGTGTCACCATTCCAGTGGCACTGAGATCAGAAGAAACCTTACTGCTGAGAGAAATCAGTGATAGAAAACTCTGGAATGTAAATTTTAGATGAGGTAGATATTTTCATATGTGGCTGACAAGCAATTTAAAGCACTAAGGAGAGTTCAAGAGGGAGTTAAGTGGTCCACGTAGATACATGGATACTAGAAAAATTTGGATGCATATATAGGATACAGGATAGACAAAGAATTCATCTCATCCTTAAGCTGTTTGGAGCTGTGACTACAGTTTGGTTCTCAGTTTGCATTAAGTTTTCTATAGTGAGTCTGGCCCCAGCTATAATAGATCATTGTGATAGCTCTGCTCATATTACGAGGTTGGGGAGCGGAAGGAAAACAATCTAAACAATGTAAGACCACCACAATTACTTCAATTGTTTTTATAGGTTACCCATAAAACTGTGGGCACTTTTCAGACATAGAAAAAGGCACAGACTTGGACTTAGATCTTATAGCCTAAAGCTCTAACCCAGTGCCTATTCCTTGCACTTTCAAAACTCACATTGACGGCAGTAGTAGATCTAGGATAAAATTCAGGAAGTTCAGGATTATTATTTATGTTCCAAGATTAAATGAGGTGTTTGCAAGAAGGAAAAGGACTGGCTTCTAGGGGACAGAAGGTTGCTGCACCTTTAGTATAAATGTGCAATCTGAAGACAGGGGAGGTTTTACCTGGTTGGGGTTTTGATCCTTCCATTTGGTATTGTGTAGAATAGTTAGTGATAACTTTGCTTTGCTGTTCTCTATTTCTTTGCATTTGATATACAGTTCAAAGTGTGATAAAGAAATGTGAGAAATATTCTAAAGTACATACACAAAAAAGTAGTTAATTCATGCATTTGGTTGTTTGATTTCTAAATGATGAGATATATCTACAAGGAAGAGAATTTTTGTCTTTTAAATAGGTAAGATTTTTCAATGCACCTGTTGCTGGCCTCATCCTGCTTCCACCAAAGTGACAGCTTATTCTTTCTAATAGGAGCAATAGAAGATACATGATGAGCATATTTTGGAGCATTCCCCACCAAGTGTGCTGCTAAGCATGATGCTGGCTAGATCCTGAAGTGAATTATCAGCTGATTAAAATTCACTTATTGTAGCTGGATCAATTTGTATCTGACCCTTTGTTATGGGAATTCCTAGGTGACAGTGTTGATATGGCTATGATGGGCTAAGTGTACAGGCAAAATCAATTTTGTGGGAAGTGGTGGAATGCTTGTTACTCCAGCTTATATTGTCAGAAATTCAGGCAAAATTTGGGGCATTTAAAATCCTTTTTCCATTTCATATCTGAAGGTTGGGCCATAGTTCTGAAGGCAGGTTTGTTTTTTTTTTATAAATTATGGTATTAGTGGGACTGCTGGGAGATACTATCTTCTCTGCAAACATAGATATGGGAATTTCTTCCAAAAGTGATTATCTGTTAGTTTTTTCTCAAATGTGTGTATAGTGCAGGGCTCCCTCACTTTTTTCACTCATTACTGCTGTTAATTTCAGCCTTTTTACTTATCTCCTTCCTGCTGCTGCCCATTCCCATCCATTATGGTTCCCTCTTTGTAATCGTTATGCCAAACTCCTATTAAACTTTTTTTTTCCTTATTTGGTGGTATGAATGGGCTTGCTTCACAAAAGACAAAGCACTCCACAGTATCTTTATTATTGTGTTTTGATGTTTTTTCATTCTCATGTAATTATAGGTTGAGTTACTTTGATATGGACCTGGTCCAACATCTGAGTATTTTATTGGTTTGCATACTGTCAGTGTTAAAAATTACTTTTTCTTTTAAAGTGACAAGCTTCCCATATATTTCCCATCTTTTCTTCATTAGCTTTTCTTGACTGTAGGTCAGGTTATGGTGCTTTGCCATCTCTACTGCTTCTGCTGTCTTGTAATGTTGAAACTGAGTGTTACAGAGTTCTTATTTTTGAGCTTTCAGAGCAAGGTTTGTATGAGAGGTAGATTTTTTTTCTTTTCTCAGTCTTCTTTGCTGTCTCTGCTTCTTGTCTTTTTGTTTGGCTTTTGTCTTTCTGGTTTTTTGGCTCAGATGTTCAGTCACAGAGGCACAGCTTATTGTGAGCTGGCTGAGAGAAAACACAAAATGAAGATGCTCTTTCTTCCATAACTTAGTTTGATGCAAGATCTTCCGTTATCAGGCTGATTTTGAACCCCAAACTGACTTTTTCAAGCTGAAATTAATCCACCTGAAATTGCACAGGCAAACTTCTATGTCAGACTACAATTTTCCAGGAAAATGTGACTGATACAAGGCAAAATATTTGGGAGATAGAAAGATATTTTTTAAAACTGGGGTGATCTCACATTTTGGACAATTTCCTGATACTTATTTTAAAGAAATGTCATGACTCAAAACTATCTTGACCGAGAAACTCCAAATTTGGGTTACTTTGTTGTCCCTGGCAAGGATAGGTATTTTGGACTCAGCTTGGAAAGTTATGCTGGTGGTGGGTTTATAATTTAAATATCAGTAACAATGTCTACATAGGTTAGAAGCAAATCAGTTTACTAAATACCATATTCTGGCTTGTGCATTGTTTATAAACCACAGACCCAGCAGCCTTTGTGCTCTTTAACCAGAATGCAGCACTACACACTCTTTTGGAAGCACATAGCCAAAGGCTACCAGATGCCTGAACATTTGCTATTATATCCATCAAGCAGGATGTAAGAAGCGCTCAGTTTGAAGCATCTTCTGATCTCCACAGGGGTTTCTACAGAGTCTGTCAGCTTCTTGGGCATTCTTAGGATTGTGCTGGCTAAGAAGACCCCTCTGTCAGTGCCTCTCTGGGCATATCCCAAACATGAGGTCTCAATGAACTCTCCTCCCAGCCTACTGCTTGATTGTGAGTAGCTCCCTGCATTAACTGTGGCTTTTAGGGAAGCACTTAGACATTTCTCTTAAGCCTCAGAATGCTGAAATGTGAAAGTTCTCTAACCTAGAATTGAGTCCAAAGAAAAAAAGGATGTGGAAGTGCATGTGGATAATTCTGAAATAATGTCATTATCTGAACTGTTCAGTTACTGGTAAATAAACATATGAAAAGTAAAGAATTAGGACAAACTGGACCTAAACATCTTGATGGAGAAAATTACTTTGTTATGCCTGAATTTTAGTACACTTAAAGACAACTTGATCTGCTATTAGAGGTCTGCACAACTTCTAAACATTCTGGTCCATAATTTCTGGAGTGTCAAGTCTGCTTTTTGGGTTGTTCTGCTCTTAATCAAAACTGATGTAGGTCAGGCAAGTACTTTATTAGGGTATTACTATGGCATGTACTAGGACATCTTAAGAGTGAGTTTTGAGTGAGCTGTGATTCCACTGAAACGTGGAGGTGGCAGACTTGGCCTCCAGCTGCATATGTGTGCCAGCAGGGCGAGTCTGGTCATGGGAGTAGGAAATTCAGCAGAGGCTGCAGAACTCTCCCAAGATGGGCAAATTAGCCCTTACTAAGCTCCTTGCTGGCACTGTGAGTCAGCTACCAGTGTGCAAGCATGGCAGTTTAGGTTAGATAAGTTTACATTGCCACGTAGAGAAATGTTGAAACATTTTGAAATTCTTCTAATAGCAGTACCTTTATTCATTTTGAGTCTGGGAAATTGTACCACCTAGTAAAACCATAGTCCAGACTTATTCAGAGTTTAAATAGTCACAGTAATTAATTCAAACTAGTGTAATCAAATCCATTTCCAAAAAAAGGAGACCACACACCTCCAAGATACCACTTTGAATGCTTCCCTTTTGAATATCCCAGTTGTCAGGGGAAAGCAGTGAAACTGAAGTGCATCTTTCTGAAATCCTCCATAGAACAGTGCACTGATGAAGTAAAGTTGTTCTGTTGTGAAATGCATGTATTTTGCTATTTTTATCCCGAGACCTCTGTTCCACTCTGGAGGAATGAAAAACAAATTTATTACATGAGTGAAATGGGCAATGGCTACCTCTTCAGCAGAGACCTTGCATACTCCAGTGATTAGATTTGGGATAAGTTGTCCAGGCAAAAGACAAAAATGGAGCTAATAAATTTAAGTGCACCTTTTGAAAAGCACTAATGAGCTTTTATCTGGAGAGGGGAAATTTTTTGACAGGTTAGGATTTTCTAGAACACAGCATTTCCTTCAAGAAGAGAACTTCCTTCAAAATCAGTCTCAACTGTGTTTGCTGTCTGTTTCAAGCAACATCAGAAACCCTTTGGGGATAAAGGATCATTTTCTAGAGAATGCTCTGGTAAAAGAGGGGTCTTTAGCCAAATATGACAATAGTCAACATAGTTCCTTGTGTACTTCACAGTTAAGTAATCTTATTGAAAGTTCAAAGGACTGGATTAAATTCCTCTTGGATTTCCTGTGATAATCTCAGTTGGATCATCTGCTCTTACATATTAGAGTTCAACAATGTCTGATTCTGTTAAGAAAAAATGACATTTATTAGACACAACTTTCTTTTACAAACCTTCCTCATATGAATGGGACAGCATATGCTATTTAAAGGACTGTCTTGCAACTAGTGAGAATTTTGCATAGATAACAAAAAAATGCTGTCAGACAGGAATTAACGAACTCCATTAACCCTTTACCTTAAAAAAACCCAAACTGTGGTGACTTTGGACTTGGTTTCTCTCTCTCCATGTTTTGGAGTCCTTTTAATGTATATTGCAATTTTAGTCTTTTGTTAGCAAAGGTTAAATTGATCCTGCTTTGCATTGTTTCATGACAATGTGAATGTTAAGGATCAGAGTCCTTGGGTATAGACTTGTATTCCAGGACGTGGTTTGTGGGTACTGAAGGATAGAACATCAATTAAATGGACAAATGCTTCTTTTGGGCAGAAGAGTTATTGTTTGGATTTGCTCTTTGTATATTTAGTGACAACCCCCACTAGTTATTTTTAAGGGCATCTGAACTTTGGGAAGGATGCTTATGTGTTTGTTTTGTTCAAATCTAAGTGGGCAAGTACTAAATGTTTAGCTAATACAGATCAACCTAGCACCACTGATAGTTAATTTACTCAGCTAATTATCTATTCTGGTCTCTGTGAAGTCATTGAAAATTTTACTGTTAACTTTAGAGGACCAGGTTTTGTTCTTTTAAATATTTAAACAATTATATTTAGGAATTGTGACCTTGGTGTGTGCTTTGAATACATGTGATAAAGGAAGTAAGCTTGTGATGTGTTGTTCTGTGTGGTAAGAATGCATATATTGTTATTTTGTTTGGTTTAGTCTATTTTTATAAAGTACTTGAGGAGAAATACATAAATTGTGTAGTTAAGTCGTTCAGTTAAGTAAGTGTAGTGACTTCTTTTGACTAGATCTTAGTTTCCCAATTTCTAATGCAGAATTTCCCTTGTAAAGATTTACTTGGATGACAGAGGCAGGGTTGCTGATTCTGTCTATTAACAGATGTGGATTTTGCTTGAGCAAGGTTAAATGTCTGATAGTGATCTATGTCATGACACAAATATAAGTATGGAAGAAAGTTTGTGCTGGCTTGCCTGAAAGAATGCCTTTGCTGATTTTTATAGGCTTCATCCAAAACCCAAAAAGAGAACCCTTCAGTGCCATTAGAGAGGCAGAAGCATTTCCAAGAAAAAGGAAAATTTGAAAATCTGCATTTTCAGCAGTGACTAGTATTGGTTATTTCTCAGTTTCAATGTTCACAAACCGAGAACTCATAAGAAAATTTGGAAGACAATCCAAATGAAAAGAGGCCCCAGTTTTCTGCTTTTCAGACTCCTTTTGAGGTACCTCCACCCAGGCAACTGTATCTCTAGTCATTTTAGAACTCTCAATCTCTTTTCCTCATATTTTTCTCTTTTCCTCTTCTCTTTTCTATTAAGGTCAAATCTTGCCTCTCTTCATGCCAATAATAAAACTCCCATTGATTTCAACATCAGCAGGAAATATGCAGTTTGTTATTTACCACAACCACCACAATGAATCTCTGGGAAGAATTCATTTATATTCATTCCAACGACGCCATGAAAAATGGGCTCTTGCTATTTTATCACATCCAAACTGTTGCTCTAACTCTAACATCCTAGCCGTTGCTAACAAGTCAGTGATGATTTGTAAACCAACAATTTATGGTAACCACATTCCATCCCCATTATGATGTGTGGTTTGGAAATGGAAAAGTAATCAAGACCTCCTGTTAAGAGACTTTATTTCAGTTGAGGGTTTCTGTAAATAAAAGCATTTTGAAATGATCATTGCTATATGATTCTAACTCCAAATTGTTCATTTGATCTAGGCCCCATCTACGCTCCAAATTCCTGCCAGGCTCTATCTGTCAAGAGCGTGAGATCTCCAACAGTGGCATGAGCATACTGACAAAACTGTTTTTATCAGTACAAGGATTTTCACTCAACTGGATAGTTTCACTAGACTGGAACAGCAGTTCCATTTCTTGGAGACAGCTATGTCCATTCCCTGGAATACTTCATAATACTTTATCAGCAGGCTATAAGGGTACTCTGACATAAATAAAGGCCTCCTACTACAGTTACAGTAACAGATGAAGAATTGTAGTCAGACCCATGGTATGTAGTAATGCTCTTGGGAACTACGAGCCTGCATAATTTGTGCAACATTTTGTCTTGGTTGTAAGGATTGTGGGCTGTCACTATGACTCTAAGGAGGACTTTCCAGCACTTTGATGGGAGACCACCTAGAATTACTGGTAAATAAACTCAAACAAGGGAATTTTGTTCCAGTACTAGGTTCTGGTACCAACTAGGTTGAAAACCTTCTTTTGATCTCTTTGACACTAATACACAATATCCTTCCAGCCCTGTGTAAGAAGCCTAGCAACCTGGCTTTGAGGCTAGAGCCACTTTGTTTGGTAACCTGCTGAAAAAGGTATCAATTTAGGCTGTCTAGAGAGTGCCCCAATTAATCAGCCCTAACTATTATGTGATATGAGGATTGAGACTACACTAATTAGGAGATAAAGCTCTCTTCCTACCTCTTCCTCTCCAGCAAAAGTCACTACCTGATTAGGTTGCATACCCCAGGACTGAGCACAATTCACTGGGGGTAGGATGTCAGCTGAAAGGGTTTATATGTATGCTCTGATTTGCTATTGAACAAAAGAATGACTACTAAAAATAACTCTTAATACTGACTTTTATTTTGTGGCCTAATACTACGAAAAGGATTTGAGCATGTATGAATCCTGATGAGGTGTTCATTAGCTTACCTTTATTTTAATAATGATATGAAAATTAGGAAATATTTTGTTATTAAGTAACTTTCTAAGTTTTTATCTCCTTAACCTTAAGTTGAATTACACGTTTTAAAGGAAATTTTACCTCATTTGGTACAACAGACTGAAAGATAAGACACTAACTCTGGCAGGACAGTTTATTCTCCATGGTGAACTAAGCACAGGTCCAAGATAAAATGGGTCCATGGGCTTAACTCTGGTTTAATGTGTTCCTTCTCACTCCTAACCCTCTGCTACAAGCACAATGCCTTCTTGATGGTGACAGCCCAACTGTTCATGAGTCTGCATTTTGAACCATACCTCTGAAATCTGGTTGAAGAAAAGCAGTATGTAAGGGAGAGAATAATAATGGGAAGGTAGTTTCCCAATCTGTCATAGTCATGCTGCCAGGTATGGTGAGCAGCAATGAGTGGTGGAAAGCGGGAGCAGGTTTTAGATGGGTCTGTCTGAAACCAGTAGTAGTAGTAGTGTCAAGGGCAAAACTGGCAGCTAAATCAGCTTTAGAAAAGAGGTACCATATTTCACTAAAGAGATGACCAACATATTTTTCTATAAGCTGATAAATATGAGTTCTGGTGGGCCTTGAAAGGACAAGTTCTACCATGTCACTTTGTGCAGCCAGTCAGTCACTTGAGTGAGATGATAGGGACCAGTTCATCCCCCTTGAGCAGCATTTGATAACAGCTGGCCTCCCCAGTTCTGCAAACAGGTCAAAATGTCAAAGCTGGGTTACATTTTATCCCTATCCCTTGTTTTTTCCGCATAGTCCTTTGGGATATGGAATAGATATCTGCATATCTTCTTTCTTTTCACAAGTATTTACTCTTCCAGTGTATATGCCTTTGGCCTAATATATCACTGTGTTCTTTAATTAGAAAGTTAATGAAAAGGAAGACAATTGCCAGTATTTGTCCCGCAGCAAGAGTCTGTCAGGTTACAGGGCAGGATCTGAGCCAAGCACCATATTTACATTAACGCTGATGCTGCGCTACCACCTTGTGGGCAAAGGATAAATAGCGCTGAGCTGTTCGACACGCAGGGACAGGGTCCGTGTGGAATAAACACGGCTGAGAAGGTGACTGGGCGGTCCAGTTGATAAGGACAGTACAGTCTGAATTCTACAGACTGAGACAGCTAGGGATCTGGGCAGCCAGCAAAAGCCAAACAGATTGTGAAAATCTGCTGGAGCTCTGAAGCGTGATAGAGGGTGAAGGGCACCCTTCAAAGGGATGTGACAGTCTGGTTTTCCTCTAGGATATAAAAAGAAGCAAGTAGGATGAAATCATGTTCCTATCATAGTAGAGTACCAATGCTTTTATATAAGAAACTCTTCTAATCTGCCTGCTCTTAACTGCAAACCTCAGAGCTACTTACAAGTTCCTTGACTCTCTTCCGCCTGCTAACTCAACGAGTCCCGTGGTAGTGTCCTTGGAGTCCCAACACCTCTGTGGTCTTCTCTCCTAATGGTAGGATTACAGCAGCTCTCTTGAATTTCAGTGCTGTGCTTCAGGGAAGAGTAGAAATCAGAGAACCACCTAAAACTTTAGTTACTGAATATATTATTATTAAAAATATTATTGGCAGCCTCATCATCCCATCAGGATTCAGTGCCCCATCTCACTTAACAGATTGCAAGAGAAGAAGCTGGGTTCAAAACATTGTCTTCCTTTTCCCTAAAACTGAAAGAATCCCCCCTGCATGTCTGAAACTGCACAACTACATGTACTGTCTGATGTGCCTCCTCACACGTTAATACAGAATGATTTGCAAAACAAATGTCGCTCTAACTTCTCCATTACAAACCAAAGATTTCCCTGGAACTGTTCAAGAAACGATTGGACCTGGCACTTAGTCCTACTATTCAGTAGATATGGTGGTCTTTGGTCAGAGGTTGGACTCGATGATCTTGGAGGTCTTTTCCAACCTTAATGATTCTACGACTCTGTGATTGGCTGAAGGTAAAAGCTTCTGGGGGACTGAGTCTCCTGTTACTCAACAGGCTAGAGATCCAGATTTACACTGATACCAAATTCTCTCTGTGGTCTGATGTGATGCAAAATCTTACTCAAGGTTTCTACATCCAGAGAATATGTCAAAAAAGCCCAATTAATTTGGTATTACAGACCAAGCCTTTCTCAATTGCTTTTGTATTAGAGCAGTTCTCTTCACATGGTAAATTACATGTCTGCTGGAGTAAGCACATGAACTTGGGTCTCTAACATGACCACAGATTGCCTTAGTGATAGGCAACAGAATTCTTTCTGCTTTCCTTCTGCCTCACTTCCCCCATCATCTACATTTTCATAAGACAGTTTGGGCGTTTTTACCAGGATTGTCTCTTCCAAGCTCAAGAATGATCCATCCTGACAGACAGGAAGCCAAGGAAAGGTGGCAGGAGGCCTGCATGGATGAAACAGGAGTTCCAGAAAAACCTGAAACATAAAAAAAGAAACATGCAAGAGATGGATTTAGTTTCAGATCTCCCATACGGCATATAGACATATTATATCCTTGAAGGATGAGGTTAGGAAAATCAAAGTCCAGCTGGAGTTGAATCTGGTGAGAGATGTAAAGGAAAACAGGTAGGGCTTCTACAAGTGTATCTACCAAAAAAAAAAAAAAAAGGGGAAACATAGGCATGCTGCTGAATGGGATCATGGAAAAGACTGAGGAACTCGTTGACTTGACTGGAAAAATGGAACAACCGGAATCTTAGTGAAATGCAAAATCCTTCACCTGAGGATGATTAGCCCGACCAGTGCAGAGTAGGGTTATGCACCAGCTGAGAAGCAGCTTGGCAGAAAAGGCCTGATGGCTAGGGAGTAGTGGTGGACAACAGACTGATTATAAGCCAGGAATCTGCTCTCAAAGTAAAGATAGCCAGCAGTACCCTAGGCTGCATTAGGAACACTCTTGCAGGCAGGAGGAGAAAGGTGATCCTTTTTTTCTGCTCATCACTGGTGAAATCACATTGCAGTCACAAAGACTAGGACAGACATACTGGGACAAGTCTAATGAAGTAATGTGAAAATTATTTATGGATTGGAGCATGTGATATACAGATACTGAGAGAGATGGATCTATTCAGCCTGGGAAAGTGAAGACAGTGTGATCTTAGTAATGTGTATAAATACCTGATAGAGAGAGTAAAGAACGTAGGGACCCTTTTCAGCAATACCCTGGGATTGGAGGAAATAAGCATAAAATCAAATCTTTGGAATTATGTTTAAATATGAAAAGTGGGTGTTTTGTTTTGTTTTTTACTGTGAATTATCAAACTCTAAAACAGGTTACCCTGAGAGATTGTGTAGTCTCTGTCCTTGGAGATATTCAAAGCCTGACTGGACACAATACTGGTCAACATGCTCTAGTTGACTCTGCTCTGAGTAAGGTGTTGAACTAGGTCATCTCCAGAGGTCCCTTCCAAACTCTCTGATTCTGTACAGTAACATATTCATTATTCCAGACACAGTTCTGATAGGACCAATGCCCCTACACACAACTTCTTGTTCCCTTTTTGGCAGAGAGAGGAAAAACATTTCTATCTCTTGATTCCACTTTCAGGATAACATTCAACCCGCAATTATTGTGGATGTGAGTCCTCATGCTCTCTTCAGCACTTTTCCCTGCCCTACTTCTCCTGTTTCCCAAAGAAACTTACTGAAACATCACAACTCCCCGCAAGCCCCCAGCTTCTGTCTTACAAGGGCATGGAAAAGACCAAAATCTATATTATCTTTTTGTGTGGCATAAGCACAGGGGCATGAAGAACAGTAGGTGCACTGCAGGTGCTCTTCCACTCCAGCTCTGTGTAAGAGCGATCCTTTAATTCAGGATTAGATTACTCGCCTCTTATTCTGTCTCAAGCACAGCAAAATTGCTACACAAGACTGCCATGAATCTAGGACTCTCCCACTTTTTCCTCACCTGCTGTCCTTTTGCTTTTCTCTTCCACTGACTAATAGTGTGAAATAGCAGAGCTGCTGTGGAGCAACATGTTGTGCACTGTGGAACTTAATTTCATCTACCAAGATCTTGCTAGTGAATGTTTTTCGTGTAATGCTGAAAATAACTTCTTTACTGAGGGTGGAAGTCTGGAAATGTGACAAATTCTGAACCTGTTTCTCCAGAGAGAAATTGCTAGCAGAAGACTTTGTGAGGGTTTTGTAGGAGGAATTCTGAGTAAATCAGTTCTTCATGTTTTTTGTTGGTGTCCTCAGCTACAGGAGTACATTCTTTTTGAGTGAGGGTCCTTATGTAAAAAAATATTTCTTATTGCCCCATGTTTCCCAAATGATAGAATTTATCTTTCTCTGTCTTGCACACAAATATAAACAGGATTCCACAGTCTCAAAACTGATACATTAGAAGGCAAAAAATCTGAACTTCCTTTCCTGTATTCTCAGGTGACATAGTACACCATGAAGCACAGCCTAAGACAGGCTTCTGAAACTCTGTTGTAGTACCATGTTTTAGTAACTTAGGATACAGAACTAAGCTATCAGTAGGAAGCATATGGGCCCTTCAGTCCACTGTAATAAATTTAGTGTCTTCAGCTGTTGGTCAGCTGTTAGTCAGCACTTCAAGGATTTGTAAACTGCTTGAATGTGAGGAGGAATTTCAGAAATTAAGCAGGAAAATTTTTGTACAGACCATCTTTCTATTTAAATAGTAAAGAGTGATGTGTTCTCTAGTTTTCTGTATAATGACAACATTGCTTCTTTGCTTCATGTTTTCAAGTCTGGTTCCTTGACAAATAGAGATGTCAAGGTAATAGGAAGTCAATTTTCTCCATGAAAAAAAAAATTATCTTTAACTCCATTTAACCAAGTAATATAGCAATACAGAAACAAATGGTGTACTTCTCTGTACAGGGAAATTGTGCTTGAATGGATTACTCACAACCCAAACAGGCAATAACATCAGAAAGCCAGTACCACAATAGTGATGGGGTGGAATTATTCCCAAATTGTGTATGCAACATGATAGCAATATTGGATGATAGATTAGTAATAGGAAGCCCATTTTGGTAACTTTTGACTTGCTTCCTGCCCAGGGATAAAGATTAGTAATTGGAAGAAAGTTGTAACAAGCAACACTGACTAGCAACTTTCATTTGCAAAAACTGCTTCCTCCTCAACCTCTTTGCAGCTAGCACAATATTTCATAAAGAGACAAAACTTCAGATTCAGTTGCAAAACCTGCCTTTGTAGGACATTAGAGATGCAGGAATCGAGTTAAATAATTTTGTTTACTCATATTTAAACCAAGAAATATGAACTAATGCAAGAGTCAGAACCAAATGAAATGCCTGAAGTACAAGACTTAAACTGTACAAAATTCATATCATCATCCAACATGCATTCCATTTCTAACCCATCAGTTTTGGGATTCATTCAGGAAATACTTAAAAACAGGCTTTTTTTATGAGTTCTATTGAGACTTTCTAACAGTCTTGTATAAAACATAATGATGATCATCTGTGTCATATTGTGAGATGTTACTGAAAGACAACATTTGACAATTAAAAATTAATAAATATTTTCCTTCTGCAAGTTCATTGTGATTGTCTCTTTATATCAGGGTATTTAAAGTGTGCCAGTCTACCACTTCAAGGAATATTTCATAATACTGATAGTTGGTATTAGTAAATATAAGAGGAAAGTACTAAATGCCGCACAGCGATATAACTATAAATGGATCCTTCATTTTTACTTCCAAATTTTAGCTATTAGCCTGCCCAACACAAATTTAGTTGTTGATTCTGTGGGATCAAGTCAAACTGGCTTCACTAAAGTCAGCAGTGTATTCTGGTTTATTGCACACCATGCTCAAACTCTACAACTTCAGTGACAGCTTAAATAATCCACATCATTGTAAATGGTGTCTAAAATTTTTATAAAACAGTCAGTTCAGATACTCAACTTCTGAATCAGGGAATTCTTCTAGTTACTGTTCCTGACAGGTGTTATGTGCAATGTTTTGTATTCAGCAGTTTCAGTTTAAATTTATCATGGTCAAAGTTGTGAAAGATATACCTTGAAGATTAACACTATTGTCTGTGGATGGGAGTAGAGGTTTGGTTTGGATACATCAGATGGTAGCTGTCACATCTTTTACCCAAGTGTAACCATTCTGCCAGGTCTTAATAGCCTTCAGGAAGGGCCAGGTTTAAAATTAAGAGTGTCCATGTGTTGCTCAAGTTTCACCCAAACCCCTGAGAAAATAATACTGAACTTTGTCATGCTCAGTGGCCTAATTTTCCCCATTTGCAAACACAAATCGAAGGAAACAATAAATAAAATTTTAATTTAAAGGAAAAAACAAAACTTGGGACAAAACAGTTAAACAGGGTAAAAGACAGCACCTAGCACACAGTTCTGGAGGGGTAGTGCTTTTCCTTCCTAAGGTAGCCTTCACTCAAAATTTAGGACTCTTACGTCTCACAAGGCAGCAAGGCCTGGTCAGCTTCAACTTTTGTAGAATCATAAAATCATAAAATCGTCAAGGTTAGAAGAGACTTTCAAGATCATTTAATCCAATGGTCCACCCAGCACTACCGCTGTAACTCCTAAACCATATCACCCAGCACCAGAACCTGATGCCGCTTGAACACCACCTCCTGGGCAACCTATTCCGATGTCTGACTACTCTAACAGTGAAAATTTTTTTCTAGTATCTAACCTGAATCTCCCCTGTCTCAGCTTAAGGCCATTTCCTCTTGTCCTCTCACTTCAGGTACAGCAGAAGAGACCTGTCCCCACATCGCTATAACCTCCTTTGAGGTGGCTGTAGAGAACAATGAGTTGCCTCCGAGCCTCCTCTTCTCTAGACTAAACAAACCCAGCTCTCCTGGTGGTTCCTCATAAGAAATGTTTTCCAGACCCTTCATGAACCCTGTTGCTCTTCTTTGGTGTGTTCTTTTCCACACACCATGTAAAAAACTCTTTTCCAAAGACCCCTTTTCTACTTTCCAAGCTTTGCACTCCATGTTGAAAGTAAATGTCTTAGATAAAGCTAACACTCTTCAGGCATGATTAAAAAGTCTTAATTAATCTAAATTCCTCCACACTCTCACAGGTACCAAATTTCCTCCTTTATGCTAGAAAGCTCCCTTTCAGACAGAAACGTTTCTCAGGTATAATGGAACAGCATATGCAAAGCAAACAAGTTTCAGGCCTATGCACTGGTGCTTTCCGTTCCTCATCCCTTTGCTCTGCCAGGTGTCAGCCAGACTCTTTTTCTAGTCTGTCTTTCTTTTCCCTGAGGAATTTTTGTGGTGGGAGAGGGTGCCAGAGATTTGCTTTCACTTTGGGCCTCAGCCACCAGCATTACCCAAACTTACTGTATATTTAATACGATAGAGCCAGTAACCCTTTCTGCCAACCTCTGAACATGAGCCAGCCGAAGAATGCTGCAATGTCTTCTAACTGAATCTCAAAGCCCATGTATAAACTCCTGATTAGTGGTGGGTGAGATTACCAGTGATGTATGTATATACCCATCTGTTTCTATGCCAACTGGAACTTCTCCATGCTGTAGGATATCTATGGAAGCAGGCTCCAGGGAGCCTTATGTTTTTGCAGTATGTGTGTAAGGCAAAGCTACTGGAGGGTTTTTCCTGGTAGCTTCATTTCCTGACTCAAGAAGTCATGTAATACTTCTGTGCGTGGTTAACTGATGGCCATGGTTTACTGGGTAAATGATGGTATTTCAGTGATGGGTGTAAGGAGATCTTCATGTGTGTGGTTGTACGTGGAAGAATTAAATGTTTTAGGTTTCTTCAGGAATATGCTATCATTTTGATGGAAGCTTGCTTTGATTTGTTTTCTTCTTCCTTCACAGATCATCAGAGATAAGGAAGACTGAGGGTAATGAAGTTTCCTTCCTTGAAAGGTCTTTCTCTTTTTTCTTTTTTTTTTTTTTTTCTCCCCCTGCTGGCCTTTCTTGAAATGGTTAAATAATGTTTGCATTCACCAGGTAGTATAAAGATCAAAATATTAAGGGAACCAAAGGGAAGTGATTGAGAAGGTCTTTCTGAGGATGACAGCTCTGCACTGTAATACAACACTGTTTCTCATGGGAGTGGGTGGGAGGCCAGCCTAAATTTCCTCTTCCTGTCCTGCCAAATTCTCCAAATTGCATAACTGTATTCTCCTTACACAGTGGTACCCTTGGCATCCCTAGCAAATCTGCAGGGAAGCAGTGAAGCAGCTGGAGACTTGAAGGTGGACCAAAATTGGTAGAGGACAGACTTGGTTAGCCAAAAAACAAAACAAACCCAAACCCACAAACTGAATTTACTAACTCTCCCATGTATAACAGAACAACACAGTACAGATTTAATAACATACACTATTTTGTTCTAAATGCACTCCATCTAGGAAAAATAAGTTTATCAGGATAAGCAAAGGACCCATGGGGAGTTCATCAGTTCAGTTTCAAGTCACAAGATGTGTTTTACTTGGCTTTGGAACCTTCTTGTGCAAGATTAATATGAAATTGCTGAAATGCAAACTGACAAAAAGACATATTTTTACTGGTTGGTGCTTTTTCCTCTGTGCCATTATTTTCATCGGGAGGCTCCATAGCTGCCTTTCCCATCACTGCTGCCTTAGGCTGACAGGAGTATGAGGTACTTCTTGGCTTCTGTGAGGAAGTGAAAGAACGACTATTGGAAGAGCAGAATGACTCGTGTAACTCATAAGGATGTAACCCTGAAGGCTTTTGTTTTGTCACTACATTGAATCAAAAGAAAAGAATTTGGACCTTCTTAGAGGGGAGCCTCAAACACGGCTATCCTGGGGTAGGTTCTGCCTGAGGAAGGAGGGAAAGATTTACCTCCTTTGGAAAAACATTTACACATCTTAAAAGTTCAAGTAGCCAAATCCATTACTTTTGCAGCTCCACTAAGTTTCACTGGAGCCTCCCCTAGCCATGTATGCCAGCTGACTATCACTAAGACAATTAAAAAAAAACCAAACAAGTACACCCACAGAGGTTTTGATAATCCTGCTCTTGTGGCCTGTGTACAGCACCTTAGACAGGCTCAGTACTGTCACTGGGATTGCTAGAGAGATTGGGTACTACTCAGCGTGTGTAAGGGTGGGAGAATCTGGCTCCAAATGGCTTCTTTTTCTCTCTTTGCTACAGGAACTGGAAAAGACAAGGGTGTGTGGGCGGGCCTGGAGTCCCTCCAAGGAAAGTGTGAGGCCTTGGGCAAAACAAATCCATCAGGTCTCTCATTTCTTCCAAATATAGGTCTGTTCTGAGTAATAGCCAAACTCAAGTCTAAATTCCACATTCAACCATTTCAGAGGGAATACATGAAAAAGACCCTATGGCCTACAGAGCCTGTCTATAGAAAATATTTTGATAGCTCTTCCGCTCTGGCATTATCTTCCACTTAAAAAGAAAGAAAAAGAAAACATACAGAACTGGAGCACATGATTCAATTTTCACTGTAAAAGGACTGATTGATGAAAATAATACTTCTAAAAACAATCTATTGTGAGCTATCAAACATTTTTGCCTATGCACCAATTGGCAGGAAACAGACAGATAAATTATTACAATATGTAAGAAAACAAATTGCTCTGAGGAGAAATGGTATTTCTCTGTGTGTGTTTATGAGCAGGATGAGTAGAATTAAATCCATAAAAGCATGCTGAGAGATCATCCTCCATCATAGCAGAAATATACTGGAAGGAAAGGAACTCACTTCAGCTCTGTCCCTGGCTGAATTTCTAGCAAAACAGGGTTTATGATATACAAGTGTTCTTCTGGAATAGAATAGAAGAATCCTGGACTTGAAAAAAAAAAATCTTGGGATGCTCCTGCTGTTGAGAGACAGGGGGTCTCATAACCATTTTTGTCAAGATACTTCCAAATTTTTCAGGCATCACCACACTTTAATAAAATGGAGCGGTTGCAACAGCTCCCCAGATCTTGAGTATTACTACTCATGGGAAAATTTGTTGAAGTGCTTGTAGATGTGAAAGTTTAAGAGACAGCATTCCATTAACTTTCAATAAGACAGTTTCTTTAGAGCCTGGCATGTGGACAAATTACAGTGAGATATAGCTCTGCATGAAGTAACAGCATGTGGATTGCTCTGTTGTGCCTGTCTGTGTACATGCTCCTATCCCACAGTGACCAGTTCAGGAAGAGATGATAACTCCTTTTCCATCAAAAGCCAAACCACCTCACATTTCCCTCAGCATTCAGACCCTGTACGCTGGCAGCTGGTGGGTAACAGTGGACAGAGAAGCTGTCTGCCACATTCTAAATACACTTTTGAATAAATGAGTAGAGCTTCTAAGCTGTGCAGGATGAATCACATTTGTGGATCACTATCACCCAGCTTGAGCCATGAGATCCACATTTTCCCTGCTTATGCCATACCTGTAACCTGCATCAATCCTGTTTGCACTGCTGTTGAGAGAGAACCCTTCTACTCCTGAGCATCATATTCTTTTCCTAAACTCTCTATTTGTGAACAGTAGAGGAAGGAAGTGGATATGAAGAACATGAAAGGCACATATTAGATTGATTCTAGGAAACACAACCTGCAGGTTGTAGATTAATTTCAGGAACATCTCAGAGAGGGGCTAGAGAGGCGAACAGATGAATTGGAGCACATATCAGATATTTTTTCCATAGCAAGGCTATACAGCTGCTAGTGGTTGATCTTAGGTTTTCCACCAGATATTCCATATATTTTGATTGTTACTACAATCATTATGACATCAATAAGAAGCAAAGATTTTTAAAGGTATCCTGGAGAATCTGAATCCCATGAAAAACCAACAGAAGCCTATTTCTTAAAGACCTCTTTGCAAATCATAGAATCATAGAATCAGCTGTGTTGGAAAAGACCTCTGAGATCATCAAGTCCAACCCTTGATCTTTCCTTACACAAATCTCCTCCACAGAATTCAAATTTCCCTATTCAAATTAAGCATCCTTGTATGTGACAGAGCCAGAGTATCTTGGGCTTTTTATTTTCTGCTTTTTCTTTTAGCCAAAGTACAAATATTCTGTGATTTGAAATGGGACAGGAAACTTTTTGTCATATTTGAAGGCTACTGAATGAGATGAGTATTTAAAAAAATAAATAGTGAGCAGAAGTAAAGTGTTCCTCTTACAAAGTCTTGTATTTTCCCGTTGTAAGAGGAACCATTCATAGTTTGTGGGCACAATAGTTAATAGGAATTGTTACCAGCAATGAGCTAGCTGCAAGGACTGCTAACCATAGGCAGATAGCCAATCTAAGAGGTTGTGATCATGTCATGAAGGCAGCAAGTAAAAGACTGTGTGGATGAAAAGTTACTATGCTATTTTGTGACAGATAACTTGAAAAGGTGGCAGGAGAATAAAAAAACCCTGCAAGAGTCCAGTAACAGAAAAATACACTGCAAACAGATGTAGGTCATATCACCTATCAAAAATTGGAGTAACTTGGGCTTTCTTATCATTGAAACATACTATATAGGAACTTACTAATATGTATAAGTCAGCAGCATAATTTATGGTGAGAAGATTAGATAAACTGAGCTGGTTTGCACATTAGAGACTTTTGCATCCAACTACAACTTCATCACTAACTCTTCAAGTGCTGAAACCACCTTCAAGTATCTCAGTGACAGGTGAGATGAGCTGCTGTAGTTTTAAGAGAGGTTTTCAAGGGCCAAGCAGAGGTTTTTTAGTTGCTCTTTCATCTGACAGAGTGCCTTCTTGACTTTCTGTGGTGTGTTCATAATCTCAATGCTGTTGGTGAAGGGGTCGTGGTGCAGAGCAAAAGGCTTCTTGATCTTCACTGCGTAGTTTCTGTGGGGGGAAGAAGACAGAGCTTCTAGTTCAAGAGGCATTTCCTTAAGTGTAAAACCTGCAGGACCTAATTTCTCAGTATGTGGTCATGGACTTATCAGGGAGCAGAGGCTGCTCTGACACATCCTCACTGGTACTCTTTAATGCTGTCTGGTGCAGTACATTCTCCCCAAGGCTGAACTACTTGCAGCCCTGAAGATCTGCAGTGCCTGCTTTTCAGCGAGGCTGGCTTAGACCCGTCTGTGCTCTCACAGCTCTCCACTAACACAGTTCAGAGTTATTACAACCACAAGCGGAGGAATGCAGGAGCACAGCATGTCTGCCGCCTTCACTTCCAAGAAATAACCTGGAGTAGCTCTTTCTGAGTAAAATTCTAAAAACCTGTTGATACTAGGCATCCTCTATTTTTCTGTCTCTATTAAAAGAAAAAAACATGATCACCTGCCATTTTTGACAATATTTCCATTAAGTACACGCTGGTAGGAAGCCCCTGTACTGATGTTGCCATATGTTTTCCGTGCTGACAGATTCTTGTGCCTTTGGTTATTTTGAGCAGCTTTGGCTCCGCAACTGTCTTGAAAAAACGTATTAAAAAGCTTCAAGACTGAGAATGGTGTATTCCTTGTCCTTGTATGTTCTTTTCAGGTTTGCCTGAGTCAAATGCTCTGCAAGTTCTCTCTCTTCTGCCAGTAAGTTCTCACTTACGTTTTTACACATATTAAAAATTTAATGTGAACATTCAGATTTAAGATGAGGAGCCTAATTAGCCATTGCTATAGCCCCAGCAGACAGTGCTTCTGGGGAAGAGGCGGGGAGAGTAGGGAAGAAGTCTGGCTCAGGTTCTCTTCTTCTAATAAATTCCTCATTTCAGCTCCTACATGCTCCCCAGTAGCTCTACAACCAGCCTCCAGCCAGAATTGGTCATGTTGTTTTAACTGTTGGAGATGAAGGCCAGAATTTAAACTCTGCTTACTTAAAAAAAAAAAAGAAAAAAAAATCCTTACTGCATAACATAATACAGTTAAAGAAATATGTTTAGAAACACCTCAAGCTACTTTGAAATAATGTCATTTAGGTTGCAGTCAGCTACTGTGTAGAAATTATATTGCCTGTGAATGCTGATTCTGCATTCTTGAGCAGATATAATGGGAGGAGAAAGGCAACCTTGTTTTTTAAGCCCCCTGCTGATCCATATTAATTCCTGGGACTGCTATAAAATTTCTGTGTGACCTTGGGTAAAACAGTTCTTCATGACCTCCTATTTGTATGGACTAGCACATAGGGTGGGACTGCACTCTCACAGTTACAGACTTAAGAAATTGCTAAAATGAAGCACTGTTAAGGTTTAGCATGCAACAGGGCGTAGCAATATATAATTCTGAATTTTTATGAAGCTTTTCTGAGATAAACAAGCTCATGTTTAATTTTGTTGCAAAAAAGCCACTAAGCAGATGCAATGAGTTAGCCTGGCATGGTTATTGCAATAGTGGTAGATGTATTTGAGATTAAGACTCAAGACAGTGTGACCCCCTCAATGAAAATACCCACAATCACTTTACTTACTGAAGCTTGACCTTGGCATCTTCAAAATTTTCTGCTATGAAATAGACAGGCTGGAAGGCTTGATCTTGATAGGGGTGAACTGCAGTCACTTCTGGATCAAAAGGCTTGTACTCTGGCTTGTTTGACAAAGCATACTTTGTAGCAGGAACAACACAGGTTAGAGCAGGTGAATGAACAGAGAAAGAATTAGTCTCTGCTGCACTGTGAAATTCTCTTTGTGGAATAGTTAGGGATAATATCAAGTCCTATTCTTTCACAGGTCAAAGCTGATTTTCATAATTAGCAGTTAATAAATCAAATAATAAATATTTTTTTAAAGAAGAAATAATAAAAAAGACATATTTTCTATATTATAGTGATGGACTACTGGATGTCACAGTCATATTCTCAGACACGGAAGGGAAAGTCTATGGCACTTCCCAAAAAATAAATATCTAGAAGAAAATAATATCATACTACTTTTCTTCAACTAGTATCATAGAAGATTCCCAGTCCTGTGCAGCATTACTTCAAAGTCCCCTGGTCCATGTCACAAATCTCACATTTCCTGCACTGAAGAACAGACAGAATGCCTCTGGTATTTTATGCACAGCTCTCCGGTCAGTATAGCAGCCTAAAATCTTCCTTGAAGCCCAAAATATAAAGAAGCAGCATCCTCTGTGTGTGCATGTTTGTGTCTTTGGACTCACAGGGTTCTTCTATATGCTCTTCTCAAGTTCTTTTACATTGTCCCTCAGGCAAACAGGAAGATTATGGAAGCCACTTCTGTCCACAATGCAGTCCAGAGGCACATTTTTATCATTTGTTTACATATACTGGAAAGACCTTTAAACCAGACACCAGTTTAGTACCAACACAGACTCCTAAGAAGGCAGCACAGGTCAGACTTAAATTGAGTTCTTAAACAGTTTGTCTGCCTCTGAAACCCAAATGAGGTCCTTTAAAGCTGGTTTAGCTCCAGTCACATTTGAACTGCATCACAGATGTCCCTAAAAGCTGTTTGGGCCTCCAGTTGGCCAGGTTGGTGTCCCACAGACACTTTGGTGAAGTGTCCTGGGTGCAAACCAAAAGGAAAAAGGCAACCCATCTCAGTCAATATTAAGACCTTTTTATCCACCTTCAGACCATCCCATCCACCTAGGGACAGTCTTTTAGTACCCACCTCTTCTTTGATATTTGCCTCTTTGCCTTTCTCTCTTCTTCCTCAGTCTTCAGAAAGCTCCCTTCCCTATTTTATAATCCAAATGCCAACTCTTATGGTACTTGTAAATAACTGGTAAGAGTGGGTGACACTGCAGAAGAGTTTCAGTTCAATCTGCTAACTGGAAAAATTCAGACAGTATCCTTAAGCCCATTTTTACATATTTCACTGAACTGAGCCTGTACTCTCCATCACTGGAGGCCTGCCTCAACCAGGAGACCAATATACTGCAGAGCTTGTGCAGAAATACATGTGTGGTTTTAAAGGAAAAAAAAAAAAGAGAAAGAATATAAAATGCTAAAAGATGGTGTTTTTCTTGCTCTTCATTTGCAATGCGTAATTGAAGAATAAACTTTAGAGAGCACTCATACAATCTAAGATGGTTGGAGTATACACAAACATGAGGCTGCTCTTAGAATCTTAGAAGCTCTGGGGACTAATGGGAAAAGATTTCAGAAACTCAAAACCTGACAGGGGTCCCGCTATGCTGTCAGTGTTGAAGCAGAACTGAAATCCCATTGATTTCAGTGGAAGTTCAGCTTGAAACCGGATGGCCTTAAAGGCCTCTACAAGTTAAGTACTAGTTGTGCTGCAAGAAAAGCATATGTAGCACCGAGTGTTGCCAGAAGTGCGGTATGAGCCATAAGATTTTACAGTATGTAGGACAGAGTCCAGCTGAGTGTTAACAGAAGAAGCATTTTGGATAATGTAGAACAGCTGACAGAATATAGTGAAATAAACAGTGCAATACTGAGAGCTGTCGGGGAGGAATTCTTACAGTTCAGAGGAGGCAAGTTTGGCCAGCAGTCAGACCCATTACAACTGTTCAGTTTAGACTCGGGTATGGTTATCCCTCTGATACATAGCTGCTGTTACTAAATCATTTGTTAGATAACAGAGATTCAAGTTCAAGACTCACGCAGATATTATCTAGCTCTACCTCTCATCCTCTGTCTTTCCCCCAAGTTTTGCCCGGAGTTTAGGCAGGATCAAATCATCCAAAGCAAATATCTACCTGAATGTGAGTTTAAACTGCTGAGAGTGTGCTGTAGAGCAGAGGAAAATGTTTTGAAGATTTTATAGTCAGGATGTGGTTCCCTGGGTTGCAGTCACACACCCACAGTCAGTCCAGGTTGCAGTTCAGGGATGTTTCCAGGTTTCTTGCTGATGCTAAGTTCTCACACCACGTTAGCTGGATGTACTGGTGCTCACCTCTCCAGCTCCTTAGATGTTCTGTTCTTGTAGCTAACCATTTAACCTTAGTAACTGCTGTCCTTATTGCCTCCTCAGTGATCAAATCATCCTGCTATGCCTGATCTAAAAGCGTTCAGTGATGAGGAAAACCCTCCTTTGCACAGGCTGCTGCAGTGTGTCTCCTCCAACACATGACCCGCAGTGATAATCCTACAGTACTTGCTATATTCACTGCCAACAAAGTGCCAAAAACTTCACCACCTGTGCCAAATATGTCGATCAGCTAAATGATGGGGAATCAAGTCTGGGAACTCCATGCAGAAACCTACCTCTGGGCCCATACTGAGAAGACTGGCAGACAATTTTTAGCATGGATAATGGCTTTCTCCCAAGCAGCAACAAAACTTGTCTAGAGCTTTTTCAAGAGCCAGTCTAATACTGCAAAGTGTTTTTTGCAAGAAACTGAAGTCTATCCTGAGCCTCTCTATCTTCCAGTCGTCATCTTCTCAAACAGATCTGTATAGCCACTGCTTTATTTCTAAAACAAAAATAAAACACACCCTCCTATGAAATAGATACTGCACTACAAATATTTCCTCTCTTCAGCCATGAAAGAAACAATAGGTATACATTTACAAGTTGCTAGCAGGTGCTTAGGCACAGCACCTCACTGCTTTACTTGCACTGCCACTGCCTATAGTGGTTAGAATCACATGCTTATGCAGAATACAGGGATGAAATGGAAATATTTCTATATTTCAGTTTGGTTTTAAATAAAAAGATAAATCTACCAGCCATAGAAGGAGACTTCGGTACCTAAAGACATGGATATAATTAATTTGTACATAAAAATTTTCAGATGCTTAGGGTGAAGTGGACAGAACCACTAAGCTATTGTCCCAGAAGCTATGCAGTGTTGAACTTGCAGAGCTCACACAGGGATTGTACAGGATGCATAACAGCATTGCGGGTTAACTACTTGCCCATCTTCAGAATTAGGTGTTATGTACAAGATGGACACATTGTTGGAAGGGGGATAATCCTTCTTCGTTACGTAGTGAATATAAATGCAGTCACATCTGCACGTATTTTCAGTGATATGATGGATGAAGACCCAGGTGAACCCAGCTTTATCAAAAGTTTATGCAGTAGCTTTACCCAACAACTACTGATGATACAAGTAATGAGAAGAAACTGCCATTTATCAACTCAAGGATAGTTATGACATCTACTGTCAACCTCAGAGGTAGGGAGTTCAAGATGCAGTTGTACTTTTGTGTGATATAGCACAGTTTTGTACACAAGTTCTTGCCTACTTCTTTAATCAAAAGCAGAAGCAGTTGTTGCTGTCTGGGGAAGAAAAGGATAGAAAAAGAGGGGAGAGAGCATAAATCTGTTGCACTCAAATCCAGACTCTCCAAAAGCAAGCATTTTTATGATGAGATTTTTTACCTTCATCTGTGTCATAATTAAATGGAAAAAAGAGGCAATATCACGCAGATAGATTCTGGGGTGCATATTGCTGTGAAAGCTACGTAAGTATCAGCAATATGATTACCTCCGCCCTTTAGTACCCTGTTTGACATGTAAATGAATTTCATTTAAAACTATAAAATAAGACAAGCAGATTATAATACATGTTGCATCAAATTGTGCTTTGACAGTGGATCTTTATGGTTTTACCAGGTAAATAAATGCAAGTTTATATTTCTAGTTTGTTGGCAGTGAATATAGCAAGTACTGAAGGATTCTCTTATAAACAGTAGCTTCAGACTTATCCTAGAACAGATAGACATGTAAACAAAATGCATTGCACTGGAGCCTTATTTGTAGGGGAGCTTACTGGTGTGCTGTTTCAAAGAAATACACTTCATTGTTCTACAGATAGTCTACCACAGTAGTGCTAGCACACTTCAGCTGAAGTTCATGAGCAATCAGGACAAGATCAGGCTGCTTGGTAGAAAGGAAGTCCTGTTTATTTCTCTAGAGGGCTGAGGAGCATGCAGATCTCTCAGCTTTTCAAGAGAGAAAGCTCTCTACAGAGTTTGCTCACAAAAATCTCCAAATTGCAAGTGCTGGGAGAAAACCAGTGCTAAACTCAGCAAGTGGTAAAATGACGGCTGATGTCTGGGTGGGTTGCCCCTTTTTCTGTGTTAATTTCAGCAGCCCCTCTGTTGGGTCTCCTACTTTAAATGTCTTGAATTGACACAGGAAGTGGGCTGACTGCACACCATTAGGAAAGTTTTGTAATATGTTTATTGTCATAACAATCCAATGATCTCCAGTTATGGGAGTCCAAGCTATGCAAATTCAGCAATGGTTCCATGTGAAAGTAGCCCTGTTAGGCTGCTGGTTTGTGTGTTAAGCTTAAAATATATCTCACATGGGAAAAAAAAAAAAGGTTTCTGGTTTATGAAAATGCTTCAAAAGAGTCTTATTTATTTTCCTTTGTCTCTGACCAAATTTTAAAGAATCATCCAGTACCTGCACAAGCTTGAAGCAGTTGAGACTTGTGGATACCAGTTTAGAGGTTTTGCAACTAAAAAATCATTACCTACTTCAGTGCTCTGCAAAAATAAGAAGTTAATATGTCTCCTATCAGCTGTTTGTCCAAAGGAGGGGAAACCCATAAGCTTTCTGTAAAGGTGTACAGTTCCTCTTTCCACAGCTAATCTGTCCAAGCAGGGCATTATCAAACCCCTGTACACAGATTTTCATTTATGTAACATTGGAGTTGAAATTAGTGTTGAAATTTATTTAGGAATGTAAAATATTAAAGCACTTTCTTTTTGTAAGTGTCCGTGTTGTTTACAGTTTCTCTGCACTTTATTTGGTCCAGTCAGTCAGTGCCTTTTTGGTTCAAATCTATGTGAATGTCAATGGCATGGATGAAACAGCTGAGTTCACAATAGGCATAATATTGCCCTCTAGTGAGTAATTCAGAAAGGTACGTGAGTTTTATGTTATAGTCAACTACATTACTACAGATCTAACACTTTATAGGATGGTTGCTTTCATTGCATTTCACCTCTAGATGGAAGACAGGTACATTACCACAGTAGTTTTCCCTCTACTCAGTAGCTTCTGGGAAGGGAGAATTAATTCCTTTGCAAAAGAAAAATCTGAATTATAAATTGTACTAGTTTATGCAGAAGAACATAGTTTGCTTTTACCAGAGAGTTCAGAAAACTGGATTATAGAAATCTGTCAATACTTTGCATTAAACACATACCATAAGCTCCCCATAAGATGAAAGCAGCCCTGCCCCGTAAGCTTTGATCAATCCATTTTGCTTGCAGAGACCAAACTCCACAGTGAACCAATAGAGCTGTGAAGAAGAACAGCTTGTGAAAAACGTTGAAAAAGCAGGGATTTTTAAGCTTCTCATTCTCATTTTTCCTTTAATTTTCTTTTACCCTTATTTCTTAGTATATTTGTATCTTCAAATTTTATAGTTGTATATTTTAAGAAAATTATTTTTCTCCCAACATATAAAACACACTAAATATTACACACATATTTTCAAAACTTGTCCCACTTCCAAAAAAAGAAAAAGAAAAGGATGACACATCCCTTAGTGGCATTTCAAGAATATGACTTTGTATCACAACTCTTCAAGGTTCCTTTAGAGACTTACAGCACTCTGCTGCCTCATGCACAGGGATAGACCTTGGCTGCAGATTAGCCATAAGTATTGCATTCTGAGGACCCTGTTTAAAGAACTGCAGAGAATTTGTAAAAGAATGTGAAACTCCATATTATTCTGTCTATCCTGCATCTTACATACTCTCTCTCCCACTCTTTTTCATATGCCTTTTAATTTTGATGACTTGGTTTTAGCCCGAAAATTTATCATTAATGAAACAACATGCCAGGATCTTTCTTTTTGGAAAATCCTGAGCCATTTTCTCTACAGTTCAGCTAATAATTATGCTTTTTTATTGTGTTAATAATCTTGATTCTTATTATTTCACAGTGAAAAGTCTTTCGAGTATCTGCTCATTTTGCAGGAGGCCTTTTTGACTGCAGAATGGGACATGGGAGGAGGAATTTTTTTTTTTACTATTTCTTTAGATATCCTGTATTCAGATTTCTGTTAGTGAGGTTCTTTTAGCTCTCACTGTTTTAACAGGCTACAAGAAATGGTGCTAGCGGCACTCTGTGGATGACATGAACACTGGCAGTTTCTCATCTCTGGTGCATGGATCCACCTGCTTAGAGAAGTCACAGGGCTGAATGAAATAGCGGCACTTCAAAGTTTGTGTTACAAATGTTATAGACCATAGCAACAAGCAAAGTTGAGATTCTTTAAAGGAACTTTTATCTTAAGTGTTGTCAGAGAATCTAAGCTAATTGCCTACATTCTCTTTATAATGAACAGAGAATGAAAGGGACTTCCAAAGATAATCACAGAATTGACATTAGATTTTTATGTCAGGGTAATGAACACACTATAGATTCTTCTCTACCTTCACTTTCTAGAAAAGGAAACTCAAACAGTGAGCCTAGATCAGATGTATAAATTTTAAACATTTGAGGATTGAGGTGTTAATCCAGAATATGTTTAGTGTTCAGAATACTTAAATGATACAAAATTGTATTCTCACAGACCCTGAACTGCAGGTAGCCCTTTCAAAAAGATGCCCTTATTCTATCTCCTCAAACCCTAGAAGATACTAGGACAATTTCAGATATGAGAACCATTATTCTTCTAATCTAAATCCTATCTCTAATCTAGTCTTATCCAGTCCAGGATCAGGGAGGGATGCTTGCAGGGAAATGCTTTATAAGCCACCAGCCTTAACCCAATCTCACCAAGACCTGGGTAAGAATGCAAAATGGCTCTCTGGGACTCATAATTCTTTTCACAGTAGCAAAGGTACAGACCTTAATCTCACTCTAGACTTTCTAGACCCAGAGAGTGGAAATTGCAATGGAAATGTGAACTGTCACTGTCATGGTGTCCTCACATCACCAGACCAGGACCTGGATGATGTTGTGAAAAATTCAGCACTGGTACCTTTTGTTCTTCAAACTCTAAAAATAAGGCTAGTCTTACCTACTCCTGACCTAAGGATGGATTTGTGCAGATGGGTTTTAGGTGAGCAACAATCTCTTTCCTGAGTGGGGCTGTGGGCTGGGAGAGGGATTTCAGGAGTTACATTTCCCTCCCATCCACTACCTTTTCTAAATGAACCCCACCCACCTGGGTAACAGTGAGGCCTCTCTCCTTCTCTGAAAAAGTCATCTAGACTGGTAAATCGCTGTCATTATTAGAAAAAAATCACTGGCCTCCAGAGGACTTTCAGAACAAGTTAAGATGGCAGCATAGGACTTCATGAGTTGTTTTGACAGATGTATACAGCCTAGTGACTCAGAACAGACAACACCTGCTCTCAAATTGCTGTTAAGTGCTCACCTATTTTGTGTGGTTAATGATTATGGGGTGAATCAAATTCTGATGGTTCTCTGCACCTTATGTAGGAGAAAATTCAGGTATCACATTTGGTATCTAGTCTAGTGGGGGAATCTGGAAAGTGAGTTGGGACCATCCTGTGGCTGAAATTGTAAAAACTCAACTTAAGAAATATGTTCTTATAAAATCAAGAAGTGTGAGCATATCCTCAGGTGGAATTACATGCTTCTGGGCTCCCCCACAGGGACTCCAGTCCCTGCTCCAGAACCTTTCTGACCTGTGGAGGAGGGGCAGAAAATCTGGCTGATGCTCCCATTCTGTAGTTAACCTGAGACACAAGAAGAGCCTTCCCTGCACAGTAAGGGATATGCGGTGAATTGTTTGGGGTTTGCCTCTAATATTAAACTGCCATCTGTACTTACTGTGGCCAGTTTCTCAATCTCCGCTTCAGATGATCCAAGAGAAGCCAGTCCAATATCCTAAAGCAAGTAAGCAAGCAGGCAGTGTTACACTAGTGTGATTATTCAGCCCAAGGGAGAGAAAGAGGGGAAGGGGGAGTACCACATAATTTCTAGCATGAATAGCATGAACTATTCATTGTTTTTGTCACCCAAAATGACCTTCTATGGCTTCCAGGATGCCTACCTCTCCCTGGCCCCCAGCTACATACCACTGGGAGCCACATTAGATGAGTGTTTAATCCTGTGTTCTCTGTGTAAAATTAACCATCTCTTGGCTTAATCCTAGACTGTCTATCCCAGGCAGAGATTTAGAGAGAGGCGAGAGAAGGAAGGACAACAAGGTGGGTTTTATCTTTGCCATTCCTTTTCTGTCTCTCAATCCTTCTGACAGCCCTTATGAGCGGGTCAGAACCATTCAGGGATGGTTCTGTTTACTTTCATCTGTGCTCCCTGTTAAATGCTATTCTCACTATAGAAATCTGTAGGTGTCTCTTTTCTGCTGTCCCAGAAGCCATATCATGCAGCAAACAAACAAAATGAGGGCATTTTTACCATTCATCGTCTCATGTTGAATGGAATAAAAAAGAATTTTCATGGGGTGAATTTCAACTGTGAAAACACCTTGTGGGAAAAATAAAGTGAAATGTGAAAATTCACTTAATGTGATCCCATGTTGTATACTCTGTGCTAATGATGGGAAAAGAAGAAAACTGAAAGCTGTGAAATTGCTATAAACTTTTATTTCTAATGTATCTTGAGTTCTGGTATTGAACTGAACTGGAGAGTTTTCTTCCAAAATAAATTATAGAGGAATAGGATATTTAAAGTCCTACTCTTCTGATTCTGATAAAAACCAGTATCTATGATCAAAAGGGTTACTGGCATGTATTCAAGTTGATACAACTGGAAACCACATTATATGAGGTAAGCTGATTTTCTTTTCAAAATATTCTGACAGGAACCTACATCATGGTGCCCCTCTGATCTTATTGCCAGTTTCCACACTAGCCACTGACTGATAAGCCTGGACAGTGAGCTACTTTCTTCCCTCTGCTATGGTTTTGAGGAACATGCATAGTTCTGAAGTCCTTAATTATGCAAGGTCACTGAGTTCACTTGGGTCTGACACTGACTCCTCATACTAAATATTCCCTTATTGTACAAAGAAGCTCTGTTTGCTTTTTGGAGTGTCCTCACCAGTGTGAGCAATGCTGTGAGAATCTGGTGAGTTGTAAAAGGAAAAACAGCTCTGATGAATGACATGGTGATGCACAAAATTAAAGTCTCATGTGAGATAAAAACGTACATCCAGAGACAGAACCAGCCTGGGGTCTCAGCGGCTGTTGCTGTTTAGATTCATGTGGTGCAGGACGGGAAGCCAGGAGAGCAGCATGGTCAGTAAAGCTCCACCACCAGCACTACAGAGACATCCTTCTACAGGGCTATTGACATAGCCCTCCCACACAGAGAGGTCCCACAAGCACTCCCTGCCCTTCCTTTTACACCGTGTCCATAGGGAGCAGTGCTACCACTCCCTTGGAGTAAATGTCTCCCAGAGTGCTGCTAGACCACCACCGCTGGAGGTCATGATTCAGGCACAGCCCAGTCTTAAAGTTGCATTTTATGGTAAACTGCAGGTATTTAAGGTACATTTGGCCTGCTATCCAGAGCAGTTGCTTGAACATCCAGCAGAACAAGCTTACCTGTGAGAACTGGGCAAACTCCTTGTCAGCTAGCATGAGAACATGACCCAGTAACTCATGGCAGCAGTCTCTGAAAAATAAGTGACCTTCATGTCTATTAAAGGCTTCCTTTCTTGCACTTCATTAACTTCCCATAAAGAATTTTAGCCAACAGACCCCAAAGGGAGATAGTGTGAGGGCTGCTCTGCAGTGGATGCCTCCATACCTGTCCTGGCTCTACAAGGAGTGTGACAGAACATTCCCTTCTGCCATGGGAGCCAGCTGCCCCCTGCTACCTTGTCTATTGTCTCACTTGGGATGGCATGGGCACCAACCTTCTATGTCACAACATCTTTGAAAGGCCCCTGTTTTGTCCCAGCATACAACAAAAGCGTCTGTGTGAACTTGTAATTTCTCATGAAATGTAATTGCTGTTGTCTGGCCAGCACTTACTGGGAGAGTTTCACAGCAGGAAATCAAACCCCAGTAAATGGTAACTGAAGGCAGGATGAAAAGATTAAATCAGATATTCTCCAGTCTTTTCCTTCCCCAGACAACTTCCAAGAGAGACAGAGAACCACACCCTCTCATGCATGACTTCCCCTTCTAACTCACCAGCTACCAGTTTATTAAATTGTTTCATTCTGTGGACTACTGGATAGAGCTCCAGGGCCATTCCCGAGAGAATGATCCCCAACACATTCAGAAGGATGGGATTACTCCAGGGCATCGAACTTACGGTTCTGGGGAATGCATAGGAGAAGAGAAATGCCTTATATACTGGGTGCACTGGAAGACACGAAATGCCAGGCTGGCAAGGAAGTCACGAGCAGACAGGAGTCCTGCAGCTGGTCTCAGCTGGAAACCTGTTCTCTCTGCAAAGGGAAGGGAGACCAAACTTAAGCATTTCTAAGGTTAACTACCCTAGAAATAGGGACCTAATATGTCCCTTCACCAAGTATAGTAGGTAAACCCTAGTTTATTGTTATTGGCTTGCCCCTGTACTGCTATGGGACTGCAGCATCAAATCACTTATCCATCCATCCTACATGCATTCACACAGCCATGATATGAGATATGGGAGTATTGCCTATCCCAGTTCACATTTTTAGCCATTTACACACATTTATCTACTATTGTCCCACTCAGCAGTGGTGTGTCTGAGGTCACACATGATCCTTATGATTAAGCTGGGAACAGAATCTGCATTTTCAGTTCTGGCTTGTCTATTTATTCTTGGATTATCTCTCTCACTTCCTGTATAGCACATGTAAAAGAAAAGCAGGAGTTAGTTAGACAAGTGACACACCCCATCCCTACTCTTGTCTGAGAGCACCTGGCTCTTCCCTAAGTTCAGGTTACTGTTTACCCCTCTCCTGAAAACTTTCTTCTTCCCTGCACTGAAACCCCTGGTACCTTGTATTGTTGAAGACAGAAGTAGGTGGATCATGGGTCTGCTCTAGTCAGGACAATTCTTCTGTTGCTCAGTTGGCCTAGTAACCCAGAGGTAGAATTGGAGCATACCAATCAACTTCATTTCCCTTTGTCAGTGCATGCTTCACATAACTAGCTGGGCACTGTCAAAACTTGCTATCAATTTGCCTTTCTGCTTGAAGTTCATTAGAATGGGAACATGCAGGAGAAAGAGCTGTGGGTCATTTTCAGAGATAAGGGTCCTGGAATTTGGCCCTCAACCATTTAACATCAACCTCCATCAGTGCTTTAACTTGTTTTTCCCAGGTTTTGTTTGGGGTTTTTTTGTTGCTTTTTCCATGATGTTTGTCTAGAACTACACAGCCTCCCAGTGATGTGGTCATACACATTTTGCTTTGCATGTGTCCATAGAACAGGACAGAAGAATGCCATACTTTTGCACTGCAATTCCAGCTTGTGCTACCAGTGTTACCCCAGGACTGCCTGCATTACTATGAAATGTCTGTGAGAGATGACTAACAAAATAACCAGTCTGATAGTCAACAGAACACACAATCTACATTTCCATGGGAAACATGTTGGTGGTCTGCAAAGCTAAGAAAATTGACAGTCACTTCTTTCAAAGTGAGCCAATGATAATCTTTTGAAGTTCTATATTCAAAATCTGTGTTGCATTCTCAGCTCCCATAAATGACATTTTGTCTACTTTAAAGCATAAAACTACATTTAAAAAAACCCCAGAAATGGCTTTATTCTCCCTTCTCTACTCATATTCTATTGTGTCATGAAGCCTGGAACCTAATTTTTTTATGTAAACAAACAAAAAAAATCCCACCCAGAAACCAAGCCATTTACAGGATTTGTTTTGGTTTGGTTTTTAATGTTTCTTTCAGAATTTCTTGTCTTACTCTATCAGGCTAGTTGTCAATAAAAAAGAAAAAATTAGAGAGAGAAAATAAAAAAAAGGAAAGAGAATGCTTTAAAGAATTAGAAGTGACAAACATATGAAACAGTGCATAAATGAGGGGACAGCAAGAAATGCTTCTGCCTGACGTTGTGATGGACTAGGTGGTGGGCATTTGCCACAGTTCCCTTCTATTCTTCCACGGAACTCAAAGGTAATGGGTGCAGAACTGCCACAAAGCTGAATCAGAAGTGGTTGTATTCTCCCCCCTCCTCAATTAAGAAAGCAGGGGAGTTGGGAAAATAGACTGGCAAAATGTCTAACTATGTCTCCTTAAGTACTGGCCAGCAACTGACACAAGAAGGGTAGGTGATCCCTTGTTGCTGATGCCACATTTAACCAATCCAGAAGAATGCGAAAATCTCAGAATGTGGTAATCTTTCAGCTGAATTCTGAGTCTGAGTGAACTGAAAACTGCACTAGCTGAAAAATATGAAAACGAAAACCAAGACCTAAGTAACTCAGTTTTGGAAAGACTATGAAAGAGTCTAGGGAAATTTATATTGCTGTAGCATCCATGTTGGAGGAGCAGGAGGGAAAATGAAAATTACAGCCTATGTTCCCTGAGATGCCCTTTTAAACACAGGCAGTGAATCAGACAGTCTGCAATGGAACAGACTTGGCCAGTTGCCTTGAAAAGCCATAGGAATAAGTTATCTGCTGAAGGTAACATCTGCAAAATCTGAACTTCTATTTCATTACTGCACAATAAAACCAGCAATCAGTAGAAAATTGGGGGTGTGGCTGCTGCCCAAAGATCTGTGAAATCAAAATGAGTTGAAGAGAAGGTCTTAAGTACTTGACCTAAAGTGATCTGCAAGGTTTAATTCTTGGCCTAAAAACTGGTGTATAGATGCAGCCTGTGCATTGTAGCATGAGCTTGCTTGAGTTCACTGGCTGTAATCTCTTCCAGCTGCAGAGGACAATGACTGCCTAAATCCAAACATCTTTCCTAGAAAGAAAGATGTGCTTAGGTTCATCTACTTAACCCTTTAGAAAAATACTTGCCATGTTAAATGGTCACATCGTTGACCATTTAAATCCCCTTTAAGTAATTATGAAATATTTAGGATGTACAGCTCATTTCTGTTCAAACCAATGTCAGTAACACTTTGCTTTCCTAGGTTCACAGATATTGTTAAGTAAAAGAAAAGTTGAAAGTTTATCTGGCTGCCTAGGATGGTTATAACATGATCACTTTCTCTCCTCTGTATCCCTCCCTCTCTCTCTCTCTCTTGCTCTCTCTCTCTCTTGCTCTCCATCCCTGTAGTTTATTATTCTCAAAGCTGTTCCAGAGGAGGTTCAGCATGGAAATGTTTCTTCACCGACAGAGTGGACAAACACTGGAATAGGCTTCCTAGAAAAGTGATTAATGCCCCAAGTCTGTCAGTGTTTTATTAAAGTCAATGCCCTTGATGACATGCTTTAACTTTTGGTCAGCCCTGAATTGGTCTGGTAGTTGGACGAAATGATCACTGTAGATCCCTTCCCACTGAAATATTCTATTCTATTCTATTCTATTCTATTCTATTCTATTCTATTCTATTCTATTCTATTCTATTCTATTCTATTCTATTCTATTCTAATTACATCTTATCATCACACATGCTAAAGAATATTCCAGTCCTTTGAGGCAGTATTTAGCAAAGATACATGCTGAGATTTATGTCTAAATGGGAAAACGGGACAGCTCGCCAGTGACAGGAGGATCTGTACTATGCATCTTCACATAGGTTGTAATTGAAATATGTGCACTGTATGCCAAGGACTTTTGAGAGACATGTCACAGCCTATAGTTTGATTAAGATATGGTTGGTTGAGCACTGCAGAACTAACGCAGGAAAGAGGCTAAGCACACAGTTGATTGATGACTTGTGAAGGAGCAAAAATTCTGGTCTTGCTAACTCTGGTGGTAAAAGCCAACAAAATTAGTAATAAATCACTACTTATAACTCCTTATAAATCATATGCCTTACCCAGTGGCTACTTGGCATGAGATTGTCTTTAGCACAGACTTTTAGACCTTGCAGATGCTTCTGATTCGGACTGTTTGTTACAAAGGAACCTTGCAACCATGTCAATATTCATGCTAGTCTAGAAACTATTCTACATCATGATATAACCTTATTAGAAGAAAGCTAGGTAAGATATCTGTTCAAAGCCCCACATAATGGGAATAAAATAGCTTCCTCACTCTTAATTGTGTCTAGCTGTTAACACAACTCTTTTGAAAAAAATTTTCAGAATTGATGCCTTTTTTTTTTTTTGCAGATGACAACTTGTATGACACAGAGAATATTTAGAACCAGAACCTACAAAAGAAGTGAGCAATCCAGGCAATCAAATCCTGTCAGCCAACACAAATAATGCAAATAGTATTATGACTGGACAGTCTTACATTACTCTAAATTCTCCCACTTTGAAATCCCATCTATTTCACTTAAAGAATATGAATATCTGTGGTAATCAGATTAGGATCACATGATTTCCGGAGCATCCTGCTCTCACCTACTGTGTAAATGAAAAGCAATGAGATCAACTATTTCATGAGAAAAAATATTAATCAGCCCAGTTACTCTAGGAGGGGAGTAAGATGAACATCTGAATAGAAGGGAAAACATATGAGAAAATACATAATGTATAAACAGAAAAATTCCTACAGCTGGATGCGATGGTGCTCATGGGAGATGCTTTTCATATGGCAACCCTCCCCTCCCTTACACTAGAGGTACAATTAAAACCTTGTCATTGAATAGCTTAATCTTCCCTAAAAACCGCAACATCTTAGAAAACTCTTCATCAACAGAAAGTTTATACAAGCTTACCAGCATCCCCTACTGTTATACGGAGCAGGTCACTTGATCTCCTGAATATTATGTTTAAATACAATTTATTTAAAGTTAAACCATATTTTTTATTATTTATTTCATCATAGTGATTAGCTGTGCTGTCTCTAGCACATCTTCTTTTCACTGAGAAGGAGCCAAGCAGGTTTTAAAGATGACCTTTCTTTAATCATTCTTGACAATCAAGTGATTCACACAGAGCACCTGGCCTTGGGCACCTATGCAGCCTAGTCAGACCCCAGGTAACAGCAGGCAGGTCAGCATAGCAACCCTGTGTGTCCTTTGATCTAAGGTCACTTCTTTATGCCACCACAGCCTTTGGTAGGTACCACAGAGGTCAGTGGAGCAAGTGGTGCTGTGGAGACAGAAAGAAGCAGAGCTTCTTTCAAAGCAGCTGCTGACTGACCAGCAGGATCACCTGGAAATAATTTTCTCTGGCACCCATTGCTATCCTGTCTCATGCATTGGAAAAAAAATATACCTGAGAGGTATGCACCTGTACTTGTCTTTGGCTCTTACTAGCAGCATGGCTTTTAGAAGCATAAAACACAACCAAAAGTGTAAAAAAAAACCCAAAAGCCCTGGGATCAACTGGTTAGTGCCACACCAACTGCAGCCACTCACAAACCTACTTACCACCTGGTCCCCAGATACGCCTGGTACCAATGTCCTGTGCTACAGCTCATCTTGCAGGAGGGAATGTTATAGCTAAACCACTCCACACACCAGCTCGTGTCCTAGGAGGTGGTTTGTGTGTGTATGTGGTGCACAAATATATTCAGGAAACCCTGGAATAAACCATGGTTTATAATGACTAACCTTTTAAAAATCTGGAGACATCCTGAAGTTGAGGTATGTTATCTTCTTGGTAGCCACAGTACTTCTCCAGCTGCTGGAAAGCGTCCAGGTACTGTGTACAGGCGTGAGTAGGGTAAAGGCTTCTCAGCTTCCTGTAGACTTCTCTCCTGAAAAGCAAAAACTATATGGCATGACCCACCTTAATAAAGCAGTATTATCTGTCCTGTCTACAGATCCAGAGAGGTCCAAAACCCCAGTACACATCATGGTCTAAAAATCTACACTTGGAACACCTGCTGCTTGGAATCTGATGAGTGGGTGGATGTAGCAAACCAGAAGGGGTTTTTGTTTCACTTTTCCTTCAGAAAGTGGGTTCTGTTCAGAAAATCCTTTTTATGGCTTTCTACACTCTCCTTTAATATAACAGAACTCTAATTCCAAGACAGAAGTGTTTCTTGCTTCTTGCTCAGGGTGTTTTGGAGGTACCAGAAAAATCCCAGGGAGAGAGCTGAGCCTGTGATAGTTTGTTGTTCAGTTTAGGAATGGAATGCATCACATATTCCCTCCCTCTCTGCCTTGGGGTAAAACTTGAAATGCTGGTCCCTCTTCCTTCATGCAGAGGCCTAGCCTACATTTGTCACTTGCAAACCTCCTCCTTACAAAGCACATCTTCTGATACTGAAGAGTAGTATCTGGACAGGTAAAGAGATCATACTTTTGCAGTTCAAAATGCCTGGTACAGGCTATGCATTTCAAAGATATGCCAGTTTCTTGAAGCATTTAGCCCACTGTACAAAAAGAGTCAAGCTGAGAAGAAATATATATTATCAGCACAGGCTTTGAGTTTGTCCAAAACTTGATTGTGCTTGGATTTAGAGCTGTGGTTTGGAATATATTTAGCTCTTGAAAAATAAACAAGTAGTAATAGGATGGCAAAGAACCTTATAGAAATAGTTATTTTTGTTCACACATGGCCCTAGGGTGTTAGCAACTTTATAAACATTGTTTTATAAAAATTGAGATCATTCTTGGAAATGCTGGCTACAGGAAATGACCTTTTGTTGTTTTCGTATTGTTGGGGTTTTTTCTGTGATGCTATTGTTGCTATGGAGGTGATAGCCAGTCCCTGTTAATGGTTCTCTTAATTTGTATGAATGTCTTACATGGTGTGGGAGTAATGAACCAGAAGTAAGGGGGGGAGGAAAACCCCCTTAATTTAAAAGAACAGAGTGGAACAGTGGCTGCTGTCACTATTGCAAAAACCACAGGAGACTGGGTCATTTCCACGGAAGAATTAGGAAAAAATGAGGACTAAAGTTCAAGTGTTGCCCTGGCTTATTTCCTCACAGAACACTACTGACTTCAGTGGGATTGCATGGGATTTGAACCAGTACACAGTTCATACCCAGACTGCAGTCTAGAGAGAGCAGCCTTGTTTACACTTCTGCACATATGGTCCCTTTTATCCAAGTGTCATTCTACTGTGTGTCCAAACACTGACTACCACAGAAATGTAGGCAGTCTCACAGACTGGTGATGAATTATCCAAAGCTAAGCATTCCTCCTCTCTAAGTACCTCTAAGGCAATCATCTAAGTACGCTCCAAAGTCAAGAGAGTAGCAGATATTTCCAGACAATGATTTAGCTTGCCCTAATGTAGTGTCTCAAATAGTTGTAATGCCTACTGTAAGAAGGTACTATTACTCAAAGGACCATTAAGCTGCTACTTGATGGTACTTCAGTTCAGAGAGGAACTGGTGAAAGCACAGTCTATGAAGTACTCTTGAAAGGAGCCTCATAATAAAGCATGATGTCAGCCACTGGAAAGACTTTAAAGGCAATAACCTTATTTAACATAAATTTCATCACTCTTTTAGAAAAAAAAGTGGCACAGTTCAGCTTTATTATGATGTGACAGGTGCATCCCCATAGTTTCGTCCTGAATTCTCCATTTTTCTTATACAGCTGTTACCCATAAGATGTCTTCTATGACTACTTAGTTTCAAGACCTTCCAAGAAGTTGCTTTGAAAACAAAAACTCAGATCATCTGTACCCTCTGTTTTCTGAAAGTCGTATTTCTTCACTGGATTAGTTTTCATTTTTATAACCATGTTGCTACAAACTGAAGGCATCCAACAACTCGTCAGAGTGACACCAAGGGAATTTAGTCTGTGCTACAAATTTCCTGTTCAGTTGCATAGTGCTCAATTAAGTTGTGCTGTAATGCAGCCTGACCTCAGGGCACAGCCTCAGGGGGCTGTGAGAACAATTGGGAACTCTAATTTTGGAAACAGTTTTATATAACTAGACAACCTGGGTTGCTGAGGCCTGGCTGTATGGGGAAATGGGCAGATACTCCTTTGAAGGTCTATTTAGTTACCACAATGGGTCTAATTCTAGGTGGAGAAGAGCTTGAATGACGAAGGTTGGCAAAAAAAGACAAAAACAGGAAAGAACACAAAATTAAATTTTCTTAAAAATGACATTCCCACGCACCATTCTATGCCAAGGTTGTTGGCTGGTGGTAGCAATCATGAACATGACACTGACCATCAATCTCTGACTATTGAAAGATGCTATAAAAAGCTATTTGAGCTTAATAAAAATGTGACCTCCTGGATGAGTTGGATGCAAGGTTTATATACGGTTGTGGAGTTCTATGGCACAGTAGCTTTTATTTAAAATAAAGTAAGCATTGAAAACAATGGGATGGAAACATGGTTGAGGTTCTGGTAAGAGACATCTAGCCTATGGATTTAATTTCTGGCCTTGAAATAAACTTTGCATATAATTTTGGGCAGATCTCTTAAGCTCTAGTGTTTTCAGTTGCACATTTATAAAATGTAGTCTTCATTCTTCCTTTCCCTCACCTTTAGGCTGTCTTTCCATTTAAATTGTAAACTTTTCTGAACAAAGACTCTCTCTTATTATGTGCACATGTGGCACCTTGCACAATCACAGGACTCTGCTTTTAGTTGAGAAGTTTGGACATATTTACGCTTTGTAGCATCATACAAATGTGTAATTATTACTGCTTACTGAGATTTGTTAGTTAGTGGGAGAAAGAGGAAAGAGAGGGAGGTGAAATAAGGACTGCTTTCTTTCAAATCTGCCGCATACTTCACATAACATTTACAAATATACTTTTAATTGACTTATTTTTTTTTAGTTCTCTGGTGGGTCTTTGGGTTGTGGTTTTTGGGTGGGCTTTTTGTGTTTTGATGTGCTTTTTTGGTTTGGTTGGGTTTTTTTTTTTTTGGTTTTGGGGAGTTTTTAGAGTGGTGAGAAACAAAGCTCCAGTGATGAAATGCTACACCCTTGTAAAAAACTTGCCATCATTTCCTATGTCATCAAAGTCCCTTGTACAGGGTAAAGAAAGTATCCTGGATGTGTAATCCAAAATTTACCTTCATTTTGAGAGAATTATATGTATTCATGTTAACAGGAATAAATGCCTGAAGGAGAACAAGCAAAGCTCCTCTGTTTGGTGACTACTGAATTAACCACATCCTGTGAGTAAACCTCCATACTGCTGGTGGGCATTTTTCCTGGTAACAGAGTTAGAAAGGTGATATTTCTGGAAGCATCGTAGCTGTGGTAGATTCTAGGCCAGTTAGAAGAAGTTATGCTATAGGCTCCAGGTGTTTTCTGGGTTCTGATATTTTGATGGGATCAGCAGGCTGGGAGAACGGTCAGGAAAATTCATTTTGCTCTAGAGAGTGAACAGTTAAGACCAGCCCCGAGAAGGGCTTTCTGCAAAGCAAATGACTAGAAGATGACTTTTAACTAAGGAGTAAAATTTGAGATGGATAAATACAGTCTCAAGACATTATAACTGTCTCACATTGCATGTCTTTCCTGGGACTGCTGTGGAATGGTCCAAGAGTTGGACTCTAAGTAGCAAACTCACCAAGTTGCAGTCTCCTGTGCTGTGTACTCGATGCGAGGCAAAGGGTCTCCCCTGAAATGAAGAAATAAGATGTGTCTAACGAAGGTCAGTTTCCAGGTGTAATATCCCACAGCACGGATATTTGTTGTAATGAAGACAGAAACAGCAAAAGAACTAAGAGGTTTTTAGGGATTTAGGTAGCTAATATGCATAGACAGGCATTCAGTAAAACAACAAAAATATTAAGTTGCTTTTCATTGTCAAAAATATGTTCCTAAATATTTTTCATTGTACTTCCTTGAAAAAGATTAACCTCAGCTCTTAAGCTAGTCCTGAAAAGAACTGCAGAATTGAAAATAAAGAGTGGTATTGAAATCACTTCTGCTAAGACAAAATGCAGCCCTGAAGGAGATATGAATGCAATTTTAAGATTTTTATCTTAAGATAAAACATTTGCTGTGTTGTGACAAAAGTCTATTTCACATGGAGTGAAAACTTTTGTGGCTGAATTTTGTTCTCTTAAAAAGTGGCCCCATTGATACACTGACAAAAGATTATATCTCTGATATTTCTTGCACATGAAGTCCGAAAGCATGCACTGAACTGTCTCTTCAGCAATCTTGTACTTACCCTCTGTAGTTTAAGGCAAGATCAGCAAAGAATGCCCTCCGTTTCTTATACTCCAGGTCAGCAAATCCCTGTGTTAGAAAATAATTTGAAAAAAATTTTACATTAAGAGAGATTTGTGGTCATAAATAGATGTGCTAAAAGAGGCACTCAGAAAAACTAGACCTCGAATAGATTGTTTTCTCTGAGGCAATGAATCTTGAGCCTTATGAACAGGGTAAGCCAAAGTCTGCAATAAGTTATATCTGTGACATTTTGATGAAAATTTACAGGCTGTGAGTAGAAAGGTAAGCAACATGGGTGGGTGGGAAGATTTTGGAGTTTATAAACACTTCATTGCAGACCATTACACGTTACCATCAAATTTAGATGCAAATCACATTAAAAATGGAATAGAGGGGTATTGCTTACACAGGGGAAGAGCTGCATCTGAATCCTTTCTTTCCTTTGCTAAGCGTGAAAGTTGCAATAAATGGCTGTGATGGACATGATGGTACCAAGCCTATCCAACTCTCCAGAGAAGGTATAGTGCACCTGCCTTGTGCTCTGGGCAAAGAACAGGCCTTCACTGGCTAGAAATGATTAGAACCACCACTAGGTGTGTAGGAAGTACAAGCTGAGCACTCAGTTGCCCCTTGCCCCTTTATTACTATGTTATGATAGAGATAGATTCAGTGGTATCTGTTTAACAGGGAAGTTTACCCATTAAATACCAGAGTTTTCTTTCTACCCCTTCAGTGCTTAAATTTAAGCAATCTTTGCTGGCTATTGAATATGAACAGAGCTGTGGAATCATATTCCTTTTACCTTTACATCATGCATAATAGGAATTAAATCTGAAATCTGGAACTGTACACTAATGTAGCTCATAAAACAGCGTTGATCAGCATCACTGTGCAAATATTTATGATTCTAAACTATTCAGAATTTACTGGAATCACTTTTCATACTACAAGCCAAATATGTCCCTTGGGTTTATTCACATAATTTTCAGTGCATCAATAATACCAGTAACACTGCAGTTAATGAGTATTGTGTGCGTGAATCTGAGGAAAGAGCTGGATCCTGAGAGTGTGTTTATTCTGTCGTGTTAGGGATAATATGTTCATTCAGATGCCGCTGTAACAAGACCATTCAAAACACATGAAAAGCCATTGGGAAAGACTCAACAGTAGATGCTGTGAGAGCTCAACTTCGTCCCTGCTGTTCCAAGCGGTCTGTACCCACCCTCTGAGCAGCAGGAGCCTCTCTGGGAGACCACTGCAGCCAGTATGAGGGTGCCCCAGAAACTGGTGCCACAGTGGCATCAGTTTGATTTTTTTGGCCATTAAAGAGAGAGTAAAGAACAAAACAAACCTGTGGATATAGACAGCCCAAAACGTGTATTTGATAGCAAATGTATATGTAAGATCTTTCCTGAGCTACCTTTACCTCAACTTATTTGGTGTTTTCCTCCAACCTGCCCATGTTTGAACCTTGCACAGTAAATCAGCCCACATTGTGCTCTCTCCTTCCACAGATAAGTGATGTTCAGTGTCTGGTCTTCAGTGCTCACACCTTCTCTTTAGCAAAATAGGAGGGGAACTTAATCCAGTTCAAAGAATTCCCAGTGTGTGTTCATTTATCTAATGAGAAACAGCCTCAGAGCTACCTTAGAAAAATTACAAAAACTTGGACTGTTTCTATCAGAAAGATACAAGGAAGAATGAAAGATGTCCTGGTTAAGGAGGATATGAAGCTCTCCTAGAGGATTACAATTTAATAAGTGATTTTCAAAAGTAGAAGAGACACTTGTAGACTTGAAAAGGTTTTCTTTTTTGTATTACACATAAATGTACGCAATACACAATATAACATTGTGTATGTTAATGATAGGACCTAAACAGAATTCAGGTATTCAGAGAAGGGAATGACAAAATCTTTCTTGTAGATTCTGTTGACACCCATATAAATTTTTCCCGCATTTTTCAATGCAAAGTATGTGCTTTTTTTCTCTGTCATGCATCACTTCTATGTGATGCTTGACAGAACACAATGCTTCTGGACCTACTTTCTCAATTTGCAAATGGCCTTTTGGAGTCTGTTTTGTGTCTGCACCTAATTCATAGCTCATCTGTACTAAAGCTGGAAAACTTTGATGAGAAACGAACGTGTTTGTTTGTTCCCAGTATTTTGCTTTACTTGAATTATCACTAGAGCAGGACTCTACAGTGCATTTTTCCTCTTTGTTCTCTTAGAGTTTGTGCTTATGGTGAGGCTAAGAGTACACACACAAAGCTTGTGAGTAAAACCCTTTTTGTGGTCCACTCATGTAGGGACTCATGCAGTCTCTAAATTCACTGAATATCAGCCTTTATCTGGCCCTTTATTTTTTCTGTTCTTTCCTAGGTTTTTCTTTACTCCTGAACCTTCCTTACCAAAATCTCCCTACAGAGAACTTCTCTTTTAAAAATGAAACAACAGTAATGTCAAACTTACAGGGTGACCATGGTCCAAACTGGGATCATACTTAGTGATCAGATGGTGACACTTGTCCAGATCTTGGATTTTTCTGGGGAACCAGGGTACTGGAGAAAAAAGCAGGAAGAGTTAAATGAGATAGGATCAAATATTCTTTAAAAGACACAGAAAATAAAAGTTGTGCTGAAGATTACAAGCTTTCTTTTCATCATTATCTAAGAACATTCATATTTACATGTCACCATAGTTGTCATACATGCCACTAGTTGACTTTGCTGACAGAAGTGGAAGACTAGATGAAAAATTATCAGAAATTATCTTGCAGTGATACTCTCTTAGTTTTAATTGGTAAAGGAAATTTTTAAATAAATTTTAAATAAATTTTTAAAACCACCTTTTTTTTTAGAGCAAATATGATGTTCTGTTTGACAGAGGGCAACAAATTTATTTCTATATTTTGATCTTGTCTAAAAAGTAGTCTCACACTTTCATACCTTTAAAAATGAAACAATATTTTAAAAGGGAAACATGAAATTTCTAAAATTCCTAGAAATAAAACAGGTCAAGAAGTATCCTGACTTCAGGTTTTTTCCTTTTGGCGCTTTTTTTTTTTTTTTTACAACATTATTCTAGCTTTAGCTGAATTTCCAAACAGCTTCTTTCCCACGAAGCAGGGACCTTTTCCAGTGACTAAAATAAAAATAAACTTTGATCATTTTAACGTAAGTGCCAGCATTTACAACCAATGAACTGAAAAAAGTACTGAAAAAAGACAAGGTTGGTCTTTCTGAGGTCAGACTGAGACTGTAATCAGACTTTCTCTGTTACAGCTGAGAAAGGTCTATTTGGGGTTACCTTAATCTCCTACTTGACAAGAGACCAGGCGTCTCTGTACTTAATGGTATTTTTAACTATTACCATATTATATTATATCCAGGCACAACCAGCTCAGAAAGGTATAAGGCTACAAATACACACTGAGGTTTGGGAAATTCCAGCTCTTCCATGCATTATGGCCAATTCTGTGGGAAGGAGGAAAAAATACTAGTCTGACAGATGTTTTAAGTCTACCTAGAATTTTTTTTCTGAGCCTTTGTCTCTGACTGTACCAACGGTTCTGCATGCAAGATTATCATCCTGCCATCTATAGGTATATCTCCTCAAAACCTGCACCTGATCATATCTCCACCAGCCCATGTCCCCATACTAATCTTACCTATTCCCTCTGGAACTAGACATAAACACACCTGTTTTTAACAGTCCCTTCTTTTGATTGTAGTTCCTGGTCCTGGCATATCTGAAACCTCTCAAGTCACAGGGAAATCCTAAAGAAATGCTTCTTCATCTCTGCCACCCTCTTTGGTTCTCTAGTTTCCCTAATAATAGCAATGCCCCTTTGATAACCACCCAGTCCCAAAAGTACAGCTTGCCATGGGCTGCCTCTTACCACTAGCCTGAAGGTGAATTTCAAACACCCAAGATGCCCAAATAAGACTGTATTAGTAAAAAGTGCTCTGGGAATATCTGTCTGGCCTTGCCAAGGGTGGGAAACCCCACAGTAATTCTGTATTCAGAGAACTCAACTTGTGAGCTGGACCCTCAGCCTTCTCATCTGCCAGGGACAACTCTGTCATCCTCAGAATTGTATTAAAGGTTTCTTAGCAGCTTGCTGTATTTACCCATCCCCTACCTGCCTGTAAACAGGAAAAATGCCCATCTGCCTCTGGCAAACTCGCTTCACACCTTGATGACTGGTAGGGATAGTGGAGTAAGCACTTGTTACTCCAGCACTCTGTCAGGTGAAATACTGTCCCTGAAGTGTAACCTGTGAAGCTGCACAACCTCCAAACCTCCAAGCTTTTCATATGCTTGGGAAAATGCATGATGCTCTGCTAGCACAGATAAGGCAGCAGGTCTGTTCTCTTCAAGAAACTCATTCCTTGTTTCTCCCAGCCTGACCAGTACCTTCTGGTACCTGGCCAGACTTTCTGCTGGCCCTTTCCCTTTTGCACTCAAAAAGCTTCTCACAGCTTGTTGCATTTAGCTCTTTCCAGTGAAGAAGCAATCTACCTCCAAACAGTCCTGCTGGACACAGAGAGCAGAAGCCAGGACACCATAAACAGGCATAAACTGATTTTATCAAAACCAATGCAATACACTACAAGCGAATGAAACATTCAGACCCTTTGCTATGTCGTTGCATCCCCATCCAGTGTATGTGTTTGTCTTGAAGCAGTCAGTTCTCTGCACACAATCTCTCTCACACAATCTCTGCAATCTCTCTGCACAATCTCTCTCAGTTCTCAGCACATAATCTTCCTGTCATTGAGCAGATTTTGGTTTCTCCTCAGTTTTGGTTGGCTGCTCTCTCCTTCTCATCTCCCTTTTCACTGGAACACTTTTTTCACCTCAGTTCCACTGGCTAGGATGAAGTGCCTCTCATTCTACAGCAGTGGGAATGGAAAACAGCCATGCAGTGACAAAAAATGAATGCACACTCACCTGCTTACCAGACAAATTAAATAACTTTTAAGAAGCTGAAGATAAATCTGAAGAACTTCATCCAAAAGAATGGCACTAACAGATGCATACATTTCTTACCTTTGTCTTCTCTGCTGGTTTTCACATCGTCTGCTACTCTCTTTAAGGAGGTGATAAGGATACTAACATCAGCGCTGTGAACTTCACATTCAACGAAAATGTCAAGATCGTCAGCAGACTTCTTGGGCTTTTTGGCTCGTCGGGTTTCAAAATGATACATCTGAGTTTCAAACATCTGCAAGAGCAAAATGTTCATATGATGAAGCTTCTCCAAATCCAGCTTCTGAAAATCCACGTAAGTCTACATACATTTCTGTGATGTTTTTAAAGGTGACTAAAAGAGGTATTAACAAGAAGTGCATGTCAAGCAAAGAGGTCCAATAATATTCGGTTTAGAAAGAGCTAAATACAAGCAGTGCTAAAAATTAAACACTGTGAAGTTGGGTAGAGATAGACGAAGATGAAAGATGAGATAGTGTTGACTGCAGAATTTTATCTGTGCTGAAACTGCAAATGAGTGGCTGGGTAACTCTTAAAACCCTGGCAGCATGAAAGCTGATCTATTGATGTATAATAGCACCATAATCATTAAATAATGGTGAACTATTAAAAATAAGTAATAAATACAATACTTTTCTTTTGAGTTATTCAGTTTCCCAAATGAGAGTGAGCACCTGGCAGGGGTACTTCAACTGCCCAGACTACATAATGCCGATGTGTTTTACAGCTTTTGTACTCTTTTTATCTCCTGCCAAATATGCAGAGAAAATTCACTGGCTTCTAACATCCCCACAGTGCACCCATCTGCCGGCCACCACAACTGCTAGAAAGAAATAATAGATTGGTATCTGCTCTAAACTACCCTTACATAAAATGTTGATTCTTCTAAAGTACTGTGTGCCCTGATGCTCCCTCCCTCCAGAGCACTCTCCCTCTTCATCCATGAGACCGGATAACTTCTCTTAGCAGCTGTAGCAAAACCAGGACAACAAGAAAAGGGGGAAGGCAGGACGAGGCATAAGTCAGTCAAGGAGCAGAAGGGTGAGAGAGGGAGAGATGCAGAGTGGGAGATGTGAAAGCAGTAGGAGCAGAAGAGAGGCTCAGTGAAGGAAGTGAATGGTAGGTCTGTACCTCAAAGACTTTGGCTGCCTTCGAGAGCTCAGTCTTCCTCACATTGAAGAGAGTGAGGGTCAGGATGAGAGTGGCTCTGTCATCCTCCCTGTTGGAGTCCAGGCTGCCTTGGCTGTTCAAAGACTCTATGCCACACATCTCCTTCTCCTTGATGGCCTCTTCTTTTGGGCCTGAGATGCCCACCAAGTCAGTCTTCATTGAGAGGTAGGGGAGTGGATGTTAACTGAAAACTGCCTGAGGGTGTGAATGCTTTCCCCAGAGAAACAGCCTGGGGAACTGATGGGACTGAAGACACAGTGTCTATGTGGCTGGTGAGATCAGAGCTGCCAGACAGCAGTGAGGCAAGTTGGTTTCTACTGTGTTAGGTGTAGGGACATTTATGTTGGCCATGCCAGACACATCAAGGGAAACTGCCTGCGTAGGATGTGCGCAAGAGCCCAAGATAACCCTCCTCCTCTGGGTAACTTCAAAGTGCTGTCCTCCTGCTCTGTTTGAAGGTGTCTGCAAGCTGTTCAACCCTTGAGATGGACTTCTTTGTAGAGAAGCAATTAGCCTGGGTTTCATTTACATCTTCCAGTCTGGACAATGTATCTGAGTTTGTCCTTCCACCCCACTCTCTCTTACCTCACTGCATGGAGCCCTCTCTGCATGGTCCATACCTCCAGTGAAATAATGGGCTCTTCCCCCAAACCCTAGCCCAGCTGAAGTGTTGTCACCTCTGCACTGACACAATTGTAGAAGTGACAGAGAGACCTCAGCCAGAGTCAGAGTTCACTGTCTACTTATGAGCTTTTCTTGACCTCAGGATCTGGACCTTTTCTACCCTAGCCCTACAAGGGATAAGTGCTGCCTTCCAGGCTAGGTACCCCTGTTGGAACTTGGTTTTTGCATGATTTTATCTCCAGTGAAATAGACTCTTAAAAAGACTGCCGTCACATCTTTCTCACAGGTGTAGGGCAAGCTCCAAGGGGATTCAGCTCTGTTCCTGACAGGGAATGTTTTCCCTTCCCTAACACCTGACATCAATAAACCTGTTTCTGGATATGAGTACCTCTATCTTCATACTCCAAGTTACAGCGTGCCAGACCTCCTGTGAAAAGTCCTTGCTCAACCAGTGGACACCCCAGTAACACCTCAAATCTGTACTTTGAACAGGTCTAGGAAGACCTCACCTACGATGTAACTCAGCTTCCCAGAGTTCATTTTTCAGCATCCTTGGGAACATCTAGGAGTGCAGGAGAAGAGGTCTCAGGCTGGGTACTGCATTTTAGAGGGCTATTCTTGTCCTGGAGTACAGTGTACCATCTATTCCCATAGGGAAAGGCAGCTTCTCTTTGCAGAAGGTGAAACTCTCTCACCCCAAGAGTAAGCTCCTCATCTCTCATGCAGTCCCTAAGGGGGTTCTTTAAAAGGCCACGCTTGCTCAGCACAAATTACCTGTCTGTTTTTCATCTGTTACCATTACAAATATCTCCACTCTGTATGAGCAGAGTGCCACTCATTTGAGACAGATGCAGCATTAATATTTCTGTTTATTTAGGTTAATTTGTGTGGTTACATTTGAACATCATCTCTGACAACTGCCAGCATGGTTTGAAGCAGCAAAGAGACAGATTTAAAAAGAACACACTACTGCTGAGTGCTCCTATGCTTAATCCCTCTTTCAATAATTTCTGCATTCTTTGGGGAATAAAGTGTCCCTTCTCCAAGCTGCTGTCTAGGCACCTTAAGACATCCAGAGGAGTCCACCTCCCTATGTAACCTCTACCAACAAGCCCCCCCTTCATCACAATCATTGACCTTGGTCCAGGTCACTGTAAAGGAAAAGGGCCACATGAAAGGGCTTCTTTGATCACCTAAAACAGATGGAGATGGAGACATCAAGAAATGTGATTGTAGTGGAACAGGACAGAGGAAGTGTTACTTAAAAGATTACTGCTGGAGCACACCTCAGATAGGCATTCCCTCCTACCTGGGTATTTAATTCTGACTGACTTGTGGGGTTACCTTACAAAGATGAATTCCACTGGTCAGATAATGCAAAAGGCATTTTCCTACACACCTTTAATTTTCCTTAAGCATGGAAATAAGAAGCCACCCATTAAGGAGTACTATTTAAAATGTGATTTATTTGTACTATTTAAAGCACATATGTACAATGTTAATTTGCTCTGTGAGAAAATCTGCTTTCTGTACAATTCCTCTGCTTTTTAAATACCAAACATTTAACTTTTTCTCATCTCTCAGTCTTGCTGAACAGCCATTTCATGCTGCTTTGGCTGGAGCTATTGCTCATTTAAACCTGCATTAAGGGACACGGAATCAGACATGTGGCATCAATATTCTTTAACTATTCTGCTTGCACATAAAAGACAATCATGAAACCTTGTTTCTCAATATCACTATAGATCTACTGCTGCTATCACTCATAACAACAGCCAGAAGAAGAGGAGCTGGGAAAGCTGTCTGAGGATTAGTTTGAAAGACTTTACCTCTGGGATGAAATTGTCTCTATGTGGCATACAATCACCTTATGGGTCCTACTATATTAAAAGAGAAAAATGTGGGCTACTTTCACACTGAAAATACATGCCAAGCAGGATAGAAAAATCTATACAGACATTGTCATGAGAAAAAAAAAAAAAAGGAATAAAAAAGATACAGAGATAAAAAAGGTTACTTCAAAGCACTAAAATGATACTACTTTGCATAAGTATATGTCAACTGAAAAGGGCTCCAGCTGGTATCCTTAGACTGATATTATTACACACCATAAATATAATGAAAACAGCTTTACTTTCTATCTTCCTAAAGGATGATGCTCACATTGAAGTTCTATTGATTTTCAAACTACAAATACAAAACTAGTACAACAGAAGGTATGAGACTCATCGACTTTCAAATCCCTCTCCATCTTCAAATCTCCTAACAGAAATGTGACCCCTGATTTTTGTTAATATCGTGATGCAAAATTGTTTCAAGCTAAAAATACTGTTCAGTTTTGCTCTGCTCCATTCTGTTCCAACATATAAGTGCTGATCTCCCTCCACCAACTAGGAAGCTACAAGGAGGCACTACACAATGTAGACCAGTTCAAGAAGTCATTTAGCTGATTTGAGTGAAAGTTATTGGATAAATGCAGAAATAGCTTCCTGAACAGCAAAGCTATCTCTCCATGCCAGCCATTGGGTTAAGCTGAAATCACCTTTGGTTCCATTTGCTGACTCAGCCAGGGTGTACTCCAGGAAAAATAAAACTGCTTTCACCAACAAAAGGGAGATTAAAGCTCAAATGGGAGACAAAGATTCAAAAAGGTACCATGACTTAGCACCTGTCTTGAAAAATAACATTTGGGTTTGAATGCAGTCAGACTAGGAAACAAGTAACCCAGGTTTTCCATGGCTTTGGTATGGACTCTAGCCAAAGAACCACTTCCTCTCCATTTCAAATGTGCTGATTGTAAGTCCAGAAAGTTAGGACACACCTCATACTGAATAAGGCACTTTCAGAGAAGGACACACATGGCAAAAGGTAGCCTTCACATGTCAGCCTTCCACAGAGAGTAGCTGAGCATGTCTATTAAGAGATATCTCTCCTTTCCATAAAATTACTGTTCTCCAATCAGCTCTGAATTCACAATGTTACACAACATTAGAGCAGCACAGCTCTGAGACTGGACTAGTAATGAAGCCCTGTTGAAACATCTACATGGTTTCTTCCTTGCATAGAGTATGGATGAACTGACCTCACATCCAACTGCAAAAAGCCACAAAGACTTACCTAAAGTTGCCTTTAGGTAACTCCCCTTTGAAGGGGCTTTTGTTGTGGATACTGTATTGAGGCACAGACTCCATGTTCTGGATAAGCAGGTCAGTGGTTTCCATAAGGATTCCACTCTGCAGACCAATG